TAGAAGGTGAACACATGGCAAATTAGCCCATAGTTTGCTTTGAAACATGATTCTACTGTGTACTGTATCAGAAACTGAATGGTACCTAATTCACATGAGCCTGAAGGGAATTTCACAGTTTGCCATGTGACATGTGCAGGCTGCTGTTTGAGGAAAAACAAGTCTAATGGCCCCTTTGGACTCTCAGAACTAGTTTCACTATTTTTTAGATCCTACTATCATTAACAATCCGGAGGAACACTTGCAATCAAATTCACGTCTTTCAATACTAATCTTCCATAAAACTCAGGGCTGTTTTCACAGTAAACAGGGGCTGGGGATGAAGAAAGACTCCGTATTTTCAGCTCTTAAAGTCCCCTCCTCCTTTTTTAAGCTGCTTGGTCCATGGGATGTGTTAAAGGCAAACCCAAGGGGAAAATATTATATTTGTAACAGTTGTAGTTTCCCTTCCAAGAGCTCATTTGTCAATCCCCAGTTGCTTTTGCCGTCTTAAGTCTAGGGGATAGGGTTTCTATGAGGTAGCTTCAAAATGGAAACAATGCAAAAACTGTAGATGCCCAAATGGAACATTCTCTTTCATCCCTTTGTATCACAACCATCAGCTTCTACAAGGACCCGTAACACCTGCTGCAGAAGGCATTCCTTGTAGCATACAATATCAGGTTTCTATTTGGATAATATTTACCTAGCCCATGGACAGAACTGCTGAAAGGACAGATTAACTGTAAAGCAATGTCACCTCAAGACCATCAGGTCTCATTTGTCTCAAATCAAGCTTCCATGCAGTAAGGCTTTGTAATTTGGTATTGTAGGAGAATAGGGCAGGCTCAGTGGGGAGAAGAGGGTAGGACAGGTCCCTTTGAATGAGCATCCTTGTACAGTACAGGATGTACTCCAACGAAGTATAAGAAAACTAGGGATGAGACCATATTGATGAGATCTTTTATAATCAAAGCCCCCTGGCTTAGTTTTTGAAACCCTCTAGTCTTTTTACTACATTAAAAAAGAGAAAACACAGAACATTTCTCTGTGTTGACCTACTAATAAAGAGAGGGCAAGGGGAAAAAACCCAAATGCAACAATGAACAGGAAGAAAATGTTTAGTCTACTGAGCTCAACAGTGCAGAACTGTAGCAACAGCAACAGGTTTGGTCAAAAATTCCCATTGTCAAAGGCGGGGATGACATTCTTAAGCAAAACATTTCAAGATCCAAAAAGCAGTAGCTTTCTGCTGCTTTTCTCTGTCCAGGAGTATAGGTTGTTAGTCAAGGCTGCAGAAAGAAAGAGCTACTGGGTAAACACTGCATATACCTTGGCAGCAATGACCGAGGATGACCTCATATCACATCTACAACATGCATCTCATTACATTCATCTGCTTTCTGTTCTGAGAACTGTACAAATGAGAAGCCAGTTCCTAAGATCCACTGAGATGCAACCATTATGTTATTCCATGGATATCTCTGTAGGTCCATAGATACCATCTGCCAGACAGCGCAAGCCTCTACACAAACCTCCCTTCAACCTTCCAAGAGACAGTCATGGGTCTTTATGGTCAAATCCAGGCCTCACAGCAAGTGAGACACACAGAAAACTCAAGTGCATTTCTGGACTATGCTAGGAGTAGAAGAAGTAATGATAAATTAGGTACGTTAAAATATAAGATGCAAACTAGATTGTAGGGGTGCAAGACTGCAAGTAATGGTTTGGGAGCAACCCTCAAACTGTACATTAATTCACAATTGCTATTTATAAGTCGCTTTGGGACACTTTTATGAAAAAATAATAATTGCATTTATTACTTGTTATTACGTATTTAGGAGCTACATGGGTCTACACCTGCATTTACAGACTTTTACAAAAGTTTTGAGAAAGAAGATCTATGCATAACCTTCACATTTTGCTATTGTTATCAGATAAAAAATTAGAGCAAAGTTACAGAAAATAGGGTAATCGCATGTGTACTTATATAACCACCCATAGGAGTGCATTTACTATGCACATGAGGTGTGTGCGTAACAATTGTCAGAATTCTCCCTTGTTTTATGTTGTTTGAACAATCTTGCCCATTCTTCATAACACTTTTGAACAGTACCACCAATACCTTGTGTAATGTGCCTATGATGGCCTTTTGGGTATGTAAAAAGCGTGAAGGTCAAAATACCAATGACTATGTTCTTAAGTATCCTCTATCCCCCCACCTCCATCCACTGAAACAAAAATCAGTGGGATAAACCAAAATTACAACTAATCTTCCTGTACAAAGAAAAGTGACTCTCCCCATCCCCTAGGCATGCTATTGCCAACAATATAGTTTTGCTCAGCCCCACAAGGCTCCAGAGGCAAGTCACAGCTTATGCATCTTGAGAAGTCTACACATCCAGTTAAGACCAATGTAAACATCAGCCCCACCCCCAACATATTAGCCTATTCTGCTACAACAGGGGAATTGTGTGTCCAGTGAAAAGTGTTATGGATAGAAAAAATAGGGTATCAAAAAAATTCCCTAAAAAGTAACATTATAAGGCTGAGCATACTTAAATAACAGGAAGCAATATATACAGTTAACACGAACAGTTAACATAGAATGGACATCATAAACCAGTAAGAATATTTGCCTAAAGATATAGTACAATATTCTAATCAGTTTTACATCTTATGCAAAGCCAAGCCTGTAAAGACAACTTTACTTCCACCTAGTTTGTCATTGCATCCCAGGAATTAGAGAGGCTATCCATCTACCAGACCTTCTCTTGAAGAAGATATAAACTATGAAACCAAATAAAGACAGAAAACAGTAGTCCAAATGTTTTATATCTGGGATGGCCAATTTAGTGCCCTCCAGATGTTTTGAATGACAAGACACAGCCAACATAGACAATGTTCAGGAATAATGGGAGTTGTAGTCTACAACATCTGAAGAGCACCACAATGACTACTTCTTGTTTAGATGGGAAGCTTGTTCTTTCACAAGCTCTTTTCTCCAGTCTTTAATTATCTCATAACAGAAGTTAACAAATGTTCTAAGATAACTGATTAAACAAGACTATAGTTAATGGAAGCTTACTCTAAATAAGGCATTTTAAATGTCTGACACAAACATGCTAAAAATTATCTCTCTCTTATAACTATTATTAGTTATCCTATTCTGCTTCTAGATGCAAGAAAATAAGCAAAACTTAGTAGAATTACAGTTTTATTTTGAACCATGAAACAGCTGCATACTCAGCCCTTTCAACACAGGAGAGATGGAACAGACTACACAGTTCAGGTGCATTAGCCAGCCAGCCTGCATAATGGCATCTGACTGACAAGTAAAAATCATCTCCAGGAGACACCTTAACATAGATCTTACTCATCGCTTTGAAATACCTACAAAGTCCCTAAAAGCAATTACTTGAGGGAACAAAGCTATAATCAATAGAATTAATATCGTTGTCTAAGGAAATACTGAACTTGCACTTACCTCCCACTGTAGATTATAAAACGCTGGTCTTCCGCTCTTCCTGGGGGAGAAAAACAAAACCAGTTGACTATCAGTAAACCCACCAACCCAATCTATTATCGTAAGGAAACTGTATTCAAAGTTGAATGTACAGATGCTAATATGGCAGCTTTTCTAACTCAACTTCAAAAGCCTACATGTTTACATGAACACAATGTGTGCCAATGTACGTCCACTATACAAGCTCTGTAGGTGGATGTCTGCATGTGCAATGTAGTCGAGAGGTTGCATAACCTGCAGATATCAATGTGTCCCTACTAAATTTGCCCAGTCACATTTCCCACACTGTATCATGAGTTAATGTGTTAAAAGGAGGGTTCCCAAGCACCAATTGAGAAAGGGATGGCAGCGCAGTGAGGGACTTTGCTTAGAAAGGAATCGCTTCGACATCTCGGAGATCAACGCAGCACAAACCAAAAGATGTATTGCCAACTAGAAAAGGGGTCTCCGCTCTTTATTCTGAAGGTGGGCAAAGCGTGCTGCCAATCCTTCAAGGAAGCAGTCAATCTCGAGGGTGCAAGGAGAGGCCTCAAGTACCTTGGGGGAAGAAATAAAAATAAAACACCAGTAGGTGCAAGCTTGAAGCCAGGGCATCATCAGATGTCTTGTAAGCAAAAGGCACTGTGAGGCGATTTTTATGGTGGTGTTTTTTTTTTGATGAAAACCGCCCCGGTAACAACTGTGAGATTTTGGAGATGGGGAGCTTAGCCTAAAACCGAGCGGGTGGAGGAGTGAAATAGAGCTTTGCTTTGGGAGGAAAGGAAACCCGGTCTTGGAAGAAGAGGGAGGAGGGCAAAGAGAAGAAGGGGGGGGCGGGAGAGAGAGAGAAATGGTCACGTCAGAGAGGCTCCACTTTGCCAAGGGTAAGGAAAGGGCTGCTGCTGCTGCTGCTGCTGCTACCTGTTTATACTGTGGCGGTGCTGAGAGGAGGCTCAGAGCCAGAGCAGCGGCGAAAGGAGGCCGAAGAAACACCTGCCTGCAACGGGGCGCAGGAGGAGGAAGGGGCAGCGGGGGTAGGAAGCTGTCACAGCCGAGAAGCGGCGCCTCAGCCGCTTCCGAAGCCCCCCGTCCAACCCCTTCCCCCCATCCTCCCTCACACCGAAAGCGGGGGACGAGAAGCGGGGAAGAGAGAGAGGCTCGCCTACCCACCTGCGGGAAGGACCGGCGTCAACCGCAGCAGCCTCTCGCCGCCTCAGCCGCCGCCACCATTACTGCTGGCGCTGTTGCTAATGCCTCGCTTTCTCCTTCTCCACAGCTTCCCCCTCCCCCCGCCGCCGACCTCCCCGCGCTCACTCCTCCTCCAGTCCCTGTCAGCGTCTCCGGCAACGTAACAAGGCGCCCGCCCATTGGCCCGCCCCCAGCAAGCGCGGCATTCATTGGCTTCCCTCCGAGGGGCGCGCGGGGAAGACCTTACAGCCAATGGGGAAGCGCGGCGCCGCTCACAGCCAGAAGGAAAAGGGGCGGGGCTTCCGAACCCGGAAAAGGCCGCCTCGCCTTCTTTCCTTAGGCGGAACCTCTTGAGCTGGGTTAGGTTTCCCTGACGAGCTTGGCAAGAGAGGACTGGCTTCCGCTTCCGGTTAGGCTCCCTGAAGTCCTGCTGAAAGGGGTCACCGAGCCTCCAGGTATGGGATGGTTTACGGGTTCCTCCTGCTCTTAACATTTCTTTCTCCGCCCCCACCCGCGGCTCCCCTTTTATGTTCCCTTCCGAGACTGGGAAGCCTTGTTCCTTGCCCTAGTCATCAGGGTCACCGATAAAAGACGCAAGGCTTTCGAGGCGGTGATTGGCTGCAGTTCGGCCTGTTCTGAACGGGGCTACTCAATACATCACGGTAGTTGATGCATCTTGAAATCAAAGGCATCTTGGTAGTTCGTGGAATACCTTTAGTAACGGTCGGTCGATTAAGCAGATCTAACTTGCAGGGTTGTTGGGGAAACCCAGCCAGATGGGCGGGGTATAAATAAATTATTATCATTAGGATAAGGTAAAGGACCCCTGTTGTCTTTGTCCACGGAGTTTTCTTGGCAGGGATACCGCAGTGGCTTGCCGGTTCCTGCTCCAGGTGGATCACGTTTGGTCAAAACTCTCCACTATGACCTGTCCATCTTGGGTGCCCTGCACGGCATAACTCATAGCTTCTCTGAGTTGTTCAAGCCCCTTCACCACGGCAAGGCAGTGATCCATGAAGGGGTTTTCCCAGTAGTGATGTATGGAAGTGAGAGCTGGATCATAAAGGAGACTGATTGCCGAAGAATTGATGCTTTTGAATTATGGTGCTGGAGGAGACTCTTGAGAGTCCCATGGACTGCAAGAAGATCAAACCTCTCCATTCTTAAGGAAATCAGCCCTGAGTGCTCACTGGGAGGACAGATCCTGAAGCTGAGGCTCCAATACTTTGGCCACCTCATGAGAAGAGAAGACTCCCTGGAAAAGACCCTGATGTTGAGAAAGATGAAGGGCACAAGGAGAAGGGGATCACAGAGGACTAGATGGTTGGATAGTGTTCTCGAAGTTACCAACATGCGTTTGACCAAACTGTGGGAGGCAGTGGAAGACAGGAGTGCCTGGCGTGCTCTGGTCCATAGGGTCACGAAGAGTCAGACACGACTAAACAACTAAACAACAAAGGACCCCTGGATGGCTAAGTCCAGTCAAAGGCAACTCGGGGGTTGAGGCGCTCATCTCGCTTTTCAGGCTGAGGGAGCCGGTGTTTGTCCACAGACAGCTTTCCAGGTCATGTGGCCAGCATGACTAAACTGCTTCTGGCACAACGGGACACCATGACGGAAACAAGAGCGCACGGAAACGCCGTTTACCTTCCCGCCGGAGCGGTACCTATTTATCTACTTGCACTGGCATGCTTTCGAGCTGCTAGGTTGGCAGGAGCTGGGACAGAGCAACGAGAGCTCACCCTATCGGGATTCGAACCGCCAGCCTTCTGATCGGCAAGCCCAAGTAGCGCAGTGGTTTAGCTGTGGGGTAACCCTGTGTATGTTCCTTAGTGGAAGGACATGGCATTCTTAGGATACAGAAAAATGTGGTGTTGGGAGAAAGAAAACCCCACACCTGTCGAGTTATATGCACCTGTGCAGGAGAACAAAAGAGAGTTTCTGGTGGTGTTGTCAGAGAGAATCACTGCAGTGGCTGCTCAGCTGAAGCTAACGCTGAAGCACAGACACAAGGTAGAACTGTTGGTGGGAAGCAAAGTAAGAACGTGCAGTTCACTGACAGTGGACAGTCCTGCTGTTGGATGTTTCTGAATCACAAAATTGTGGAGATGGAAAATTGCATTGCTCATCATATCACAGATACTCATATCAGTAGCTTAACTGTTTTGTACATATTGGTACCGCTACTGATGCAGTTATTATATTGTAGAAAATTGGCTGGTTTTTTGGGGGGAGGGGGCAGACACATATTGGCTTGCATTGAATTGAAATGTATTGTTTTGAAACTATTATACAAACTTCAGAAGTACCAGCTTGGTTAAGCATGTCTGGATCCCTTGCAACAAAAAGGCATAACTGTGTAGCTGATATATCTATCTAGAAAGGCTTTGAAAAATGTATATTCTGTGATGTTCTAAGTCCTTCAATCCTTATTTACATCATAGTCTCTGCTGATCAGAAAGTCTATCAGTATGCCAGCCTGGCAATTAAGTTCACAAAAGTTCCTAGCCCATCTGCTTGCACATTACTTATGTTTGGTTTCCTGTGACAAGCAAGATTCTCCTCCAGCCACCAGACAAGTAGCTATATTTCTGGCTGCTGTATACCAGACTTTAGTTTTATTTATAGGTGAAGGAATTCTTTAATGTTGAAATTAGGGTTGCCGTGCTCATTAGTTTAGTAGTTTGATAATGTCGGCTGACCACCTATGCTGAGTGCAGTCAAGGGTTGTAAAATATTCTAAGATTGCTGCAGCATAGGTGGGTAACTTCTTAAATATCATTATGGTGTCCTTTGCTAGCAAGGGAAAGACTGGATGCTGCTTGGCTCTGCAGCAATCTGGAGAAACAAAGGAGCATATCTAAGTTGCTCCTGCTGCTGCCCTGCTGTAAATGAAAGCACCTCTAAAGAGGAATAAGAGCAGTCATTAGTGGCAAAGGTTGCTGCCTGGAACAGCCTGCTGATGCTTGACTGCTTCCAGCAATGCTGGTTATCTGGAAAACCTTAAACTGGAAAGTTTGCTATGCAAATTCTGGGAATTTGCATCATAAATCATTAAGCTTCCTTTGGGAAACTTCCTGATGCTGAGTGATCAAATTTTGCATGTTTGTTTTGCTTGTGTTTAGTAAACAAAGCTTACAGCTTCGAAATCATCACCCTTGCCTAAAATGCTATTTGCACTTGGCATGCACTCATTGTTCCTAATTAACTTATGAAACAAATTTTTCCATGGAAAAGTAAAGCACTGGGGGGGGGGGGGTGTCCCTCATGTACTGGCTACTGCCTACGTAGTACAATTGCATTTAAAAACTGAATTTAAAAAAAGAAATGGTTGCTGTTTGCTTTCTTCCAGTTTTCTTTTCGTCCTTTTTTTTAGTGTTACTGCATCTAGTGTATGGGGATAAAAGCTAAAGAAAAGAACTGCTATATTAATCATTTTATATTATTTTGACATTTTATAATAATTCATTACAGAACTTGTCTGTTGTGGAGATATCACATTAACTCACTTGCTCTTTGTAATTGGCATAAGTTGCTGATAATGAAAACACCTTTCGCTGTTCAGCTGTGTGATCCTATATGTATCTACTCAGAAGTAAATCTTGGTGTTTTCAGTGGTGCTTACTTCCAAGTAAGTATTATAGGATTGCAAGCCTATTATAAGGCTTTCAAAACTTCTTCTTCCTCTTTGGCGATAACTCGTAGCCAAGTAAGATTGTCTTCCATAAACACGGTTTTAACAATGAGTCCGTAAGTGACCGTGGAGGCCAATTCTGGACCCACACGTCCTTCCACAGTGGGGACATTGGTTCCCTGGTGGGAGTTGATCACAGTGTGGATTTGCCTAGCGTGCCTTCCGCTTATCATGTTTCTCACTTGCGTCCTGAGTTCGAGTGTCTTCAAAGCCCATGACACCTTTGGTAAAAGCTGTTCTCCAACTGGAGCGCTCGCAGGCCAGTGTTTCCCAGTTGTTGGTGTTTACACTACATTTTTTTATATTTGCCTTGAGACAGTCTTTAAACCTCTTTTGTTGACCACCAGCATTACGCTTTCCATTTTTAAGTTCGGAATAGAGTAGCTGCTATGGAAGACGATAGTCAGGCATCCACACAACATGACCAGTCCAACGAAATTGATGTTGAAGAATCATTGCTTCGAAACTGGTGATCTTTGCTTCTTCCAGTACGCTGACACTATTTGACCAATCAGATGCAAGTGCATTATTAGCATTAGGCAGATGGAGGGGCAGCAGACTCAAAAACGACAACAGGGAATATTAGTTGCTACTCATATGCCAAAAGCTAAAATGTCACCCTTGGTTGTTGTCCTAAATAATTTATTCAAGGACTAAAAGCCTCGTCGGGGCACATCATGCCTTGAGAATATAAATGGTCATCTAAAATTTATTGAAGTACCCATTAAAGTATTTTTTTCTTATCTGTCAAAAGAATGGGAAGACGCCAATTCATTCATTCCCTTTTAGTTTCATTGTTCTGGGTCTGACTCTTGCAAAGTCTTTTCTATGTGCTTATCTAACTGCTGAGTCAAATGAGTACTTTCAAGAGCAGAATGATGATTATGTCTTATGTACAGATCTGGAGGATGACTAATGCAAGTCAGTACATCTTGTTCGCAAGCAATAGAAGCTCCATGATCTTGTACAGCCGTTCTTGGAATGCAAGCCGTTTAAAAACTAATTTTAGAAGGAATTGTAATTAATAAAGCTTATTAAAATGCAGTTTATTGCAGCTTTGAACTTCTAAACACAATTTGTCTCTTAAAAATGGGGAATTTCCTCATTTGACTGGAGATAATTTTGAAAGTTGCATTTTTGTACAGTTTCTTTATTTTCTTTCATATTTCTTACTGGGTTGTTATTTTAAAAGGAAGAAAGTTTTATTTGCATGGAAAAGTGAGTTCCCTGCGATCCATCTCTGTGTCACATTCTAGTACGTAGTATGACCAAGAAATTGAATTCAAAGCATTGCCAGATACCAATGAGCTCAGGTGGCTTCCATTTAGTTTTATGAAAGAAAACTGATGCTGGTACCAGGACTACAGGCGGATGGACAAACCCCTCGCTCAGTAAACCAGGATCATGAATATATCACACTTCTTTCTTTCAACAACAAAAAAAAGGTGGTTGGCATTTGCTCCCATGGTAGGAAAAGTAAACCTCTGCATCTTGGAATAGTATATGAGTTATTACTTGCCCCCAGCCCTGGGTGGCCCAGTCTCTCTTAAAATATGGGATGGGTGATATATATGATCCCCCTGCCTGCAACCACCCCTTCCTAATCACAGAGATAAAGTTAGTATTGTCCTATAAACAAGTTAAGCCTAGTATTAATGCAATTCATGCAATGATTTTCAGCAAAGGAGGCAGTTGGCTCAGATGTTGTTGTATAGAAGCAGCTTAGGGCAGTGGTTCCCGATTAAGGGTCTAGGGACCCCTGTGCATCCCCATAACACACTCCGGGGGTCTGTGGCTCAATCCCTCCCCCCCCAACTATTTTTTGTCATTTTTGCATGGGAATATCACAAATTTTATGGTCTGTTTTTTAGTACAGTATACCCCAAAATCAATTGCTTATTAGGAGCTACAGCACATTTTGTTCAAAAAAATTGCTTTGCAGTGGTGACTACCATAGAACATGGGTTTTTGTTGGGGGGGCAGGCTTTTGGGGGGAGCAGAATCTCAGTTTTGTATTGATTTGGGGGACAACTGCCCCCCTCCCCCCCTTGGCTACACCCGTGCCATAGAGTTATCAAAAATTTTCAAAAGTAGGAGGGTCCGTGAATTGGCTTTTGAAAAATAGGGGGTTGTCAGTAATTAGCTAATTGGGAACCACTGGTCTAGGGCCTTTCCAACCTTAAAAAGGTAAAGGATCCCTGACTCTTAGGTCCAGTCTTGGACGACTCTGGGATTGCAGCGCTCATCTTGCTTTACTGGCCGAGGGAGCCATCGTACAGCTTCCAAGTCATGTGGCCATCATGACCAAGCTGCTCCTGCGAACCACAGCAGCACGCTGAAACGCCGTTTACCTTCCCGCCGGAGTGGTACCTATTTATCTACTTGCACTGTGTGCTTTCGAACTGCTAGGTTGGCAGGAGCAGGGACCGAGCAACGGGAGCTCACCCCGTCACGGGGAATTGAACCACCTGCCTTCTGATCGGCAAGTCCTAGGCTCTGTGGTTTAACCCACAGTGCCACGAGTGACCTTACTGTCATTTAAAAGTAGGTGCCGTTTTTTAAAGCTGCATTTAATCCAGATGTCTTGCCTCAGGGAAGCACTTCCATTGCAGGGGAATCATTTCCATAACAGTCAATGAGCCTTTTGTGAATTCAGTTCTTGCTATGTGAAGTGTTGTGCAAAATACAGTTGTATTGAGTGTCATGTACCGTAAATACTGAATTGTACCTTTGACATAACCTCATGAGGAGCATGACCAATCCCTCTACTCCCACTTCCATGTAGTTTTTTTAATAGTACTTCTGTTTAACCTTGGCAATACTGTACTGCTGTAACATTCAAATAACTAGAGTTTTGACTCTGCACACATTCTGTGTGTGTCTCTGTGTCTGTCTGTCTGTCTGTCTGTCTGTCTGTCTTTCTCCTCCCTTAGCCGTAGCTTGTCATTTAATTGTCCTAAGTGAAATTGTCACAAGGAAGGCTTTCAGGGTAGACCCACCCACCCACCCCTATTTATATGTGATTTCAGGAGACAGTTTTTCCAACTCGGTTTGCAAAAGAGAACGATGGGGGAGCAAAACCATTCTTCCCACCCATTCCGCAGCAAATGCTAGAGGGTGTCATATGCTAAGTCGTGCTTGTGCAAATAGAGCACTACTTAAATGTTCTACTCAAGTGCTGGGTGGGGGTGTTCCACCCAGTTCTTAAAGGGCCTTAGCCAATTAGAGTATTATGAACTGCTATTATGAATAACCGCAGTCTGCTAAGGAATACTTGACACATTTCTTACGTGGCCATTGTGCGGTGGGTGGTCAGTTTCCTATTATTTTATAAAGAGAAGCTCTGAATGCAGTTTTATAAATAACCTTGTAAGAGCTGCTTTTCTTTTCTTTTAAATCTTTCTCCAGAAGCATGGGGCATGGTCATGAGCATGGACCGGTCAAAGTGGAATACCCTGATCCAAAAGTATGGAAGGTAGAGGGGACTCCCTTACAGGATATCCAAGAAAGGTTGGCTCGGCGTGGTCTGAAGGATCCATGGCTTCGGTAAGAGCTTGCAAAAATACGGCCTTTCACTTGCTTTCATCAGCCACAGACTTATTGTATAGCAGACAATACCCTCCTTTTACAAGAAAAGATCCAAACCCCTCTAAATAGGTTCAGGTTGTTTTTTTAATGTCCGTTCAGGAACACAATCCTCTGAAATACTTAGGATTGGTGTGGAGAACTGTCTTCAGCCCAGGGGCTACATTCCCTTCCAAGGACCATATGCTAGTGATGGGGGAGATCAGAGGCAAAAGAGGGCAGAGGAAAGAATCTAATTTTTCCCTTTGTACAGTAAGGAAGTTTATACAGGTAGTACCAAGTGAGCCACATAAGGGACGTGGGTGGCGCTGTGGGTTAAACCACAGAGCCTAGGACTTGCCGATCAGAAGGTCGGCGGTTTGAATCCCCACGACGGGGTGAGCTCTCATTGCTCAGTCCCTGCTCCTGCCAACCTAGCAGTTCGAAAGCACGTCAAAGTGCAAGTAGATAAATAGGTACCGCTCTGGTGGGAAGGTAAAACGGTGTTTCCATGCGCTGCTCTGGTTCGCCAGAAGCAGCTTAGTCATGCTGGCCACATGACCCGGAAGCTGTACGCTGGCTCCCTCGGCCAATAAAGCGAGATGAGCACCGCAACCCCAGAGTCGGCCACAACTGGACCTAATGGTCAAGGGTCCCTTTACCTTTACCTTTACCAAGTGAGCCACATAGGAGTTTTGCAAGGCAAAGTGCTGTAATATCTAGGGAAGGGATTGGATATTCTTGGCAGTGTTTCTCAAACGTGGACGCCCAGCTGTTGTTGGACTACAGTTCTCATCACCCCTAGCTAGCAGTGGTCAGGGATGATGGGAGTTGTAGTCCAATAACTGAAGACCCAAGTTTGAGAGACACTAGCCTAGCAAGTGTTCCCAGGATAGCATTCAAGCATGTTAAAGAGCTGTCCTTTCAAAGAATGCATCATTCTAAAGTGGCATCAGAAGCTCAATGATTGCAGTAGACCGGCACGGAAAATTATATGGTTGCTTGTGAATTATAGCTGAATGGATTCTTATTAGAGACCACAAGCAATAAACACAACCTGTAAGCAAAATTGATAATTAAAAGCCACAGATCTCACAGAAAAGTCTAACTTAAGAGTGGGAAGGAGAGATGGGAAACTTTGTTTCTGTGGACTCTCTTTGCTATCTTAACATCCAAGCATCCCCTGCCCCACACTCCATCCCACATTATTCAAGGGGGGGGATAGACCATTCAGAGATACTTTGTGGGGGTGGCAGAGAGAAGAAGACAAGAAGCTTTCCTTCTATGAATTTCCTTAGGTTAACTTCTGTAAGGATACAAGCCTGAAAAACCACAACACTTTTCACTGCAATATTGCTTCAGGATACGTCATTAAATTTGTAGACCAACATAGGCAGTTGTACAACTTGACTTTTCATTCATCTTTGTTGTTTTTGTCTTGCCTCTAGCAACGAAGCCTGGAGGTATATGGGCACCTTTGCAAAACCTGTCACTATCATGGACGTTCTCCGCAAAGGATTCAAATGGGGATTCACAGCCTTTGTGGTAGCTCTTGCGGTTGAGTATACGTTGTTCCCTCCAAAGAAGGATAAGGGCCAGCACTGAGGATCCTCTCTTCCAAGCTACAAATCAATTGCTGTGTTCTGACTTTGCATGAAAAGATGCATATTAAAATTCTTCAAAAAGGGCATTGTGCTGTCTTTTTCTCACCTCCCATGGGGAAGGAAGGGGTTAAAATGCATCACACACCGATTACTATGCGTATTGGATTGCCTTGGCAAAGCAAGCTATGTCTGCCTTTGGTTTATTTTTGTCCTTATAGCTTTCTCTTCCATTTGACTGGCCCAGAGGCTGGGAGAAGGAACCAAAAGGCCAACTTTTAGACTTGAGGACTCCTTTGTGTGCTGCCACCAGGAAGTCCTTGCCTATGAGCATACTCCAGATGGCTGCCGTAGCTACTATTATTTGCATTTATATCCCACACGATCCACCCTCCTCCTTTATCTTTACAACCGCCCTGTGAAGTGGATTGGGTTGAGGGAAGGTGACTAGCTCAAGAGAACCCAGGGAGCTTTGGAGCCTGAGTCGAGGTTTGAAACCAGATCTCCCACCATTAACCACTACTCTACCCTGGCTTTCTTCATAAACAACAACACATGGATGTATCTTCCAGGCAGCATCTGGGCTTGTGTTTGGCTATTGCTATACGGCCAAAGATCTTCTTACACTACAACAGCTGAACGGAATGCTGCCCTAAGTAAGGACATTTCTACAAGCCTAAATCAACCCTTAAATCTCGTCAAACTGTTTTCTCTTTGTTGTAGAGCGCAAGTTTCCATTTTTCACTCTTTGCTTGCAGGGTTTCTTTGCTTTTAAGCTCCAGAACTTGTCTACTGTTCCTCACTAGCCATCTTGTCCCCGATTTTCAAAAGCACGAGGCAGTTAAAATTTTGGTAAACCTGGATATAGAGTCGGCTTATAATGCCTTGCCTGTCTTGTGAACATATGTTGCAAAATCTGAAATATTTGGAATATACACTTGGGAAGTAGAAGTAGCTTACAGGTGCACAGGGCATCCTACCTGCAGCTGTTTCAGTTAAAGGTTATCGTTCTCATTTTGTAGTGTTAACCATGGCAACAATTTCTTATACTAAACTGTCACAGCAGGCCTATAATCCAAGATGTCAAATTCTTTAGAGGCAGAATTATAAATTTAGCTCTGTAGAGAGAAAATGTAAGTGACATGAAGTACCCCTCCTTTTCTTAGTCAACGTTGGGAGAAAAATTTAGATCCGAATAATAGCCACTCCTGCGCAGTTAGCTTAAAAATGATTTCCGTGCCAAAATGCACATAATTACATTGGCATCTACAGTGGTACCTCGGGTTAAGAACTTGATTTGTTCTGGAGGTCCGTTCTTAACCTGAAACTGTTCTTAACCTGAGGTACCACTTTAGATAATGAGGCCGCCACGCCGCGTCAGCACAATTTCTGTTTTCATCCTGAAGCAAAGTTCTTAACCCGAGGTACTATTTTTGGATTAGTGGAGTCTGTAACCCAAGGTACCACTGTATATGCAAGGTACCACTGTATACGAGATCCAGCGCTGAGGGCCTTCTGGCAGTTCCCTCATTGTGAGAAGTAAGGTTACAGGGAACCAGACAGAGGGCCTTCTCAGTAGTGGCGCCCACCCTGTGGAACACCCTCCCTTCAGATGTGAAGGAAATAAGCAATTATCCTATCTTTAAAAGGAATCTGAAGGCAGCCCTGTTCAGGGAAGTTTTTAATATTTAACCCTGTATTGTTTTTAATACTTGATTGGGAGCTGCCCTGAGTGGCTGGGGAGACTCGGCCAGATGGGCGGGGTATAAATAATTTATTATTATTATTATTATTTTGATTGGGACTTCAAAGGCTTGGGAGTGTGTGAGCATCTGAACCAACACTCCAAAGGTGTCTGAGTCAGACGACTCAAGAGACATCCAGTGAAGTTGAATGCTGGAAGATTCAGGAGGCAACAGAAAACACTTAGTCACACAGCAAGTTGCCAAGCTGAAATTTGCTATCAAAAGGAGGCAGTGATGGGCACCAAGTTGGGACGCCTCTAAAAGAGGACTGGTCAGATGAATTGATGATCAGTAACTACTAGCTACTGGGATGCAGGTGGCGCTGTGGGTTAAACCACAGAGCCTAGGACTTGCTGATCAGAAGGTCGGCAGTTCGAATCCCCGCCACGGGGCGAGCTCCCGTTGCTCGGTCCCAGCTCCTGCCAGTTCGAAAGCATGTCAAAGTGCAAGTAGATAAATAGGTACCGCTCTGGCGGGAAGGTAAATGGTGTTTCTGTGTGCTGCTCTGGTTTGCCAGAAGCGGCTTAGTCATGCTGGCCACATGACCCAGAAGCTGTACGCCGGCCTCCTCGGCCAATAAAGCGAGATGAGCGCCGCAACCCCAGAGTCGGCCACGACTGGACCTAATGGTCAGGGGTCCCCTTTACCTTTAGCTACTAGCCATGATGGCAACCTTTGCCTTTACTATCTTGAGGCAGCATGTCTCTGAATACCAGTTGCTGGAAGTTACAGGTGGGAAGACCACTGCTGCACTCGGGTAACAGCTAATACTCTGTGCTTCCATCCAACTTGCTAAGGATGGGTAAGGACAATACTGCCTCATCTCTACCATCAATTCATAACAGCCCTTTGGAGATCCAGCAGAGAAGTGCAGACATACCCAAGGCAACACAAGTCACCTTCAAGGCCACCCTGGGATTTGAATGTGAGTTTCTCTAGCATCAAAACCAGGAAAGATGACTTGTCATTTTATTTTATTATTACGTTTATACATTGCCTCCAAGGTGGCGTACAAAATGTTCTTCCTTCCTCCCTTTATTTTATCATCACAACCACCCTGTGAAGTTGTTTGGGCTGATGGAATGTATCTGGCCCAGTAACACACAATAGGCTTCATAGTCGACTGAATATTTGAATCCCGGTCTTTCAAGTCCTAGTCCAACTTTGTAACCACTGCACCATACTTTCGGCTGTACTTCTGTTGTGAAACTTTACCTCGCCTTACAACCCCATTCCCATCAGCTGCTACTTTCTTATAACAGGCACTCTCCTGTATTAATGCATCCTCAGTCCCAGCATCTGCTGTTTGGAGAAGAAATAATAATAATAATAATAATAATAATAATAATAATAATAATAATAATAATAATTTTATTTATATCCCACCCTCCCCAGCCGAAGCTGGGCTCAGGGCGGCTAACAACAATAAATTAATACAACATTCTAAAATCATTTCATTATAAAATTAATTCAAATCAAATTGATGGCAACCATTGGGCTAGAGTTCTGTGAAGATTGCCAAAGGAGGGAGTCAGGCTGTGCCCTGGCCAAAGGCTTGGTGGAACAGCTCTGTCTTGCAGGCCCTGCGGAAAGATGTCAAGTCCCGCAGGGCCCTAGTCTCTTGTGGCAGAGCGTTCCACCAGATCGGAGCCACAGCCGAAAAAGCCCTGGCTCTGGTTGAGGCCAGCCTAACCTCTCTGTGGCCTGCGACCTCCAAGATATGACCTGCCGTATGCCTTTTTAGAAAGGATTCTGAGATAGCGTACATTTAAATGCTTCCATTATTTGCAATATACTGCATTAACGCTATTCATATTCAGAGCACTTCCTTTAAGAAGAACGCATAGTTAAGCAAAGGCTGAAAAGCGTATGAAACGAGGCATACTAAACCGCTCACAACATTACAAAAATGCTAGCGTCCCTCCCAGCATACACACAATGCTCTATTACAGATTTTAAGTTTAAGGCTGTTTTTTTTTTAATGTTGCTTTATTTTGAAGAACTTTCGATTCTTGAAGAAATTTAGCTGCCTGTATGTAGCCTACAAGCAGCAGCGACTGCCCTGCAAATGAAAACAGCTGTCACACAAGCAGGAACGTGATCACTGCGCAGATCAGGGTTCACAAACACCGATAGCTACAGGGATCTAGAGATCTCACATGTTGGCAGCGGAGCACAACAACACGAGAGCTTGTGCCAGACACAAGGGTCTAAAAATAGAGTGGACATCAGTCAGAACTGGCTGGATGATCTAAGCAGAAGGCTGGGAAGATACAGCCCTTCACACACTGCTTACATTACATAGGTTATTTTAATCTTATCTCTGGCTAGTGGTGTATCCAACTCAGGACAATGCAATGGTGTGTGTGTGTGTGTGTGTGTGTGTGTGTGTGTGTGTATAGAAATATTCTTAAGATATCCTGGTTCCAGACCATTTCGTTTTATTTGTACCTTTTCAATCATTTTCAGAGTAGCCTTAAAGATTAAGGCCAGCATTTAGAACTGAACCCAGAAGCAGACAATGTCAGTACAGTGGTACCTCAGGTTAAGTACTTAATTTGTTCCGGAAGTCTGTTCTTAACCTGAAGCACCACTTTAGTTAATGGGGCCTCCTGCTGCTGCTGCGCCGCCGGAGCACGATTTCTGTTCTCATCTTGAAGCAAAGTTCTTAACCTGAAGCACTATTTCTGGGTTAGCGGAGTCTGTAACCTGAAGCGAATGTAACCTGAAGCGTATGTAACCCGAGGTACCACTGTATAGCTGGACAGGGTTGAGGAGGGGGGGGCATTAGCAAGGCGACCCCCAACAACCCAGCTACCCCACAGGTAACACCCCACCACCACCATATTAAATTTCCCACAATGCCCTGGAGCACCTGACATAGTGAAGCCAGCAGATGGCAATTTAAGTTTCTGAAATGAACCAATAGTGTTTCTCTATTACGCAATTGTTCAATAGCATAATCCCAAACATTCCTCACTGAGTATATGCCCTGGAAATATACCCTATTTAGTTAAATGAGGCTAATAGTAATCATAATTTCTTATTTATACCCCACCCTTCTGGCTGAGTTTCCCCAGCCACTCTGGGTGGCTTCCAATCAAGTGTTAAAAACAATACAGCATTAAATATTAAAAACTTCCCTAAACAGGGCTGCATTCAGATGTCTTTTAAAGAGAAGATAGCTGCTTATTTCCTTCACATCTGAAGGGAGGGCGTTCCACAGGGCGGGCACCACCACCGAGAAGGCCCTCTGTCTGGCTCCCTGTAACCTCACTTCTCGCAATGAGGGAACCGCCAGAAGGCCCTCGGTGCTGGATCTCAGAGTCCGGGCTGAACGATGGGGGTGGAGACGCTCCTTCAGGTATACAGGAGCGAGGCCTGTATATAATATAAATATAAATCAATACTTACTTATTCCTCAGTAAGTATACTATGGGCTGAGACAGCTGCATCTGAACAATGTGATGCATTCTTTGTACGCTTGCAAAGGAGGCGTTAATGGTCGAGCATGGATCTTCTGTGAAACGTCATTCACGTTTTTCATTAGACCACTTTGGCCCCTATCTCAAAGGCCTCCCCGTTTGATCCCTCTCGTGACTGTCCTTCAGCAGACGTTGTTTTCAACAAAATAGTTGGCATTAAGATTATGAGCAATGCAATATTTATAAACCCCGATCACTCTCAGCCTGAAGATGTAGAGCCTGGAAAATGCAGTTTGGACAGAGGGTGGTGGCTGAAATTGCAACCCCTGTGGCACGTTAAAAGGCACTTATTTGAGCATTTCTCTAGTGGAACAGTGAACGATACCTGATGATTTGAAGTGCCAATCTAGGTTGCCAGTAATGTGCTGTGTTATAATAATTTTTAGGTCATACATATGGACCTAATGGTCAGGGGTCCCTTTACATACATATATGTGACGCGGGTGGCACTGTGGGTTAAACCGCAGAGCCTAGGACTTGCCGATCAGAAGGTCGGCGGTTCGAATCCCCACGACGGGGTGAGCTCCCGTTGCTCGGTCCCTGCTCCTGCCAACCTAGCAGTTCGAAAGCACGTCAAAGTGCAAGTAGATAAATAGGTACTACTCCAGCGGGAAGGTAAACGGCGTTTCCGTGCACTGCTCTGGTTTGCCAGAAGCGGCTTAGTCATGCTGGCCACATGACCCGGAAGCTGTCTGTGGACAAATGGCGGCTCCCTCGGCCAATAAAGCGAGATGAGCACCGCAACCCCAGAGTCGGTCACGACTGGACCTAATGGTCAGGGGTCCCTTTACACACACACACACACACACACACACACACACATGCTCATAAATGTACCAAGCAAACACACATATATATAAACCACATGTTCAAAACCCACAGGAAAAGTCCTAAAGCCATTCTGACTCCTTCAGTCACCTCAAATCTTTCTCTACAAGGTCAAAGGAAATGCAGAAATCTCCCCATTATCTCTATCCTCACAAATCCTGCCTTAAGGGCACATTTAAGGTGTGAATAGGGTGAGCCTGTGACCTGGCTCAGGAATTAAGTATTATCATTACAAAAGAATGGCCAGGCTCCCCAGGTAATCCAGCCAAGTGACCATTAACAGGTAACCTGGCAGGCAGGGTAAAAACAAGGCACTCAGATTTCTGTTGTAGACCGCCTTTTCTGTGATGTATGTATGATGTTTCTGGGGGTGGTCTTGGACTCCAGGGCGGGAAATTTAAAATGTCTATATAAGGGCTTGCACGCATGGCTCGGGGTCCTCCTCTCTCCTATGTGTGGGGGAACACCCTGTTGCAACAGTTAATAAAGATCAGGCTTACTAGCTGCTTTGCTTCTCAATATTCTCTGACTGGCCTCTGTTATTTTCTCCTACCAATAGGGAACCTACGTAAGGACTCTATATGGGCTCTTGGATACCCCATAAGGGAAAAAGGGCAGATTTTTGTTTACAACAGCTGCTATTTCTTGACTGGTGCCCCAGCACCCTCTCAAAATCTGAAATGTCCATAAAGGTTGGCGACACCTGCTATGGAGGGCCTACTCTCATATAACTCTTTCCAGAATTAATTTTTTTAAGGGAAATTTCTTCTTGGCTGCATTCACAAAAAGGGAAGCCAGCTTACAGCGACGGCAGGGAGCACTGAGATGATGAAGGAGCACTTAAAGATTTGGCACGCTGCTCAGCTTGTCTTTCACTGGCCAGCCAGTTGCAGGATGAAGCGGGCTTCTCTGTGGACAGACATTGCTCCAGCTCACTAACAATGCTCCTCATGCAAAAAGAACCTCGCTCCATAAACAGAGGCTCCCCACTTTTGCTTGCTTCTGTTTTCCTGGTCCTGTTTTCCTGTTTTCTGGCAGCATGAACGTTGGGAATTGGAAACAGATATTAAATTTGACCTCAGAAAGGGGCTCTTGCGTGCTAGACTGCTTGCAACACAGTTCTGATTTTTATTTTTTTATTTTTTTGCAGTATATTTTCCTTTGCCAGCAGTTTCATTATTGGTGAGGAAGCTTTTACAATAACCACTTTCCCTGGAGGCAGTTTTAATGCACGAGGCAGTAAATCATGACTGCTGCTTTGCCAATTTTAAGCCACTGCGTGGCAACTTAATGTAACGGTTTTTATGTTTTGTAAACTGCTGTTTTCTTGCTCCCTGAATTACGAGAGAAGGATATCATGTAGCTCCTACCTTGTTTCAAGGATCCTGTTTTATTTGCTTTAGTTCTAGTTACAGGTAGGTAGCTGTGTTGGTCTGCCGTAGTCAAAACAAAACAAAACAAAAAAAATTCCTTCCAGTAGCATCTTAGAGACCAACTAAGGTTGTCATTGGTATGAGCTTTCGTGTGTATGCTGGAAGGATTTTTTAAAAATGTTTGTTTTATTTGCTTTAGGTTAGAACTGGAAGAAAGCCCTGAGACATGATCCAAATGAACTGTACAAACATAATAATTAGGGTGTGCCATTTTAAAGGGCAAAACTTAATTTTTGAAAATTTAATCAGTTGAGGGGTCTTAAAAATATGTTTTTGAGTGTGAGGAATTCAAACTTATTCATTTTGTGACTGGACAACACTTATCTTGGTAAATCTACGTTTGATTAAAAAGCACTGCTCCTGGAAAACCAACGAATTATAATTTTACATTCTGACAATGTAATGTTATTTTAAAAAAAAAGTTTCTCTGCGTAAAACCTATCCTATTGGGAATAAAACATTACCTTGTAAACATAAAACAACATTAGAAAGTTATGATATCAGTGAATGAGAAATATAAACATCAGGTTGTCGTTCCTCGGTATCAGCCACCGACTTGCTTCTTGGCCTCACATTTCTCATGTATACACCCTGCCTGCTGCCCCTTGTTTCACGCATCGAGCATAACAGCGCCCGCGTACAACTTGCATGGGCTCATCAATTAACTTCTTTACTTCTGCTGTATCGCCGGCAGCCATTTTGTGTGGGGTTTCCATTCATGGCTCCCGCATGCCTTGGCAGAGAGCATGTAAGCTTGCCCTGACCCCATCCTGCCTTTTCCCGGGTCCAAATTTGACGCATTTGACAATTTGACGCATCTAAAATGGTCACTGCCTAAGTTTACATGTCAAAGGATGTCCAGAAACAGTGGTACCTCAGGTTAAGTACTTAATTCATTCCGGAGGTCCGTTCTTAAACTGAAACTGTTCTTAACCTGAAGCACCACTTTAGCTAATGGGGCCGCCACGCTGCCGGAGCACGATTTCTGTTCTCATCCTGAAGCAAAGTTCTTAACCTGAAGCACTATTTCTGGGTTAGTGGAGTCTGTAACCTGAAGCGTATGTAACCTGAAGCGTATGTAACCCGAGGTACCACTGTACCTGTCACATATATATGCCTACGGTGCAGCAGGACTGTGTTTGATGTAACAGGTGTTTATACAGAAGTATAACCATGATGAGCCAGTTCTCTCTTGTAACACCTGAAGGCAGCCCTGTTTAGGGAAGTTTTTAATGTTTGATGTTTTACTGTGTTTTTAATATCCTGTTGGAATCCGCCCAGAGTGGCTGGGGAGGCCCAGCCAGATGGGCGGGGTATAAGTAATAAATTGTTGTTGTTGTACAATGCAGGGTCACCCAACAATACAAACAGAGAGTAAGCTTAGGACTGAGAAAAAGAAGTACGTCATCCAAAAAACCGCATTCTTATGAAATAAACTGATGCAATATGGGGCAATCGCCATTACACAAAATGAATGGGGGCTAGGCTTGTTCCTTTTTTTAAAAAAAAAGAGCATTTTTGCCTCACTTTTCAAGTTACAAAAGACTCCCTGGGCTGCTTACAAAGGTCAGAAATAAAACAGTCCCCACCTTCACGTTTACAGTCTCAAAAGGCAGCACAAAAGGAAATGGATTGGGAAGGAGAAGGGGAAAAACCTCCATCAGCAGGTCAAGGAACAATGGAAAAGCTGCAACTTCCTCTCCCAGCAGACGGTGATGGCAGTTGATGGCTAGCAGGCAGGAGGCTATATCCAGGAATGATAATGTCTGACTTCTGCTTCCTCTCTCACTGATGGTCTGAACAGATACAAACCATAATTTATAAATAGAAGCACCATATTCAGAGGTGTCATCATAATTTTAAGGTCTTCAATACATAATAAATGTTCATAAATGTACCAAGCAAACACATACATAAATATATAAACCACATGTCTGAAGCAGCACAGGAAGACAGTCCTGAAACCATTTTAACTCCCAATCTGACCAAATGTTTCTCTGCAAGGAGGGAGGAAATGGGAAAAAAAACCTTCCCATTGTCTCAGGAATTAAGTAATCACCATCTCAAAGGAATGGCCAGACTACCAGAAAAGGCAATCTGATAAGGCATTACAGTGGTACCTTGGGTTACATATGCTTCAGGTTACATACGCTTCAGGTTACAGACTCTGCTAACCCAGAAATAGTGCTTCAGGTTAAGAACTTTGCTTCAAGATGAGAACAGAAATCGTGCTCCAGCGGCGCGGCGGCAGCAAGAGGCCCCATTAGCTAAAGTGGTGCTTCAGGTTAAGAACAGATTCAGGTTAAGAACGGAACTCCGGAACGAATTAAGTACTTAACCTGAGGTACCACTGTATCAGATAACCTGGCAGGCAGGAAAAACAACAACACTCAAATTTCTGTTGTAGACCGCCTTTTCTGTGATATGTGTATGATGTATGGAGGGGTGGTCTGGAGCTCCAGGGCAGGGAATTTCAAAATGGATATACAAGGCCTTGCACGCCACTGTTCGAGGTCCTCCTCCTCTTCCCTGCGTGTGGGGGAGCACCCTGTTGCAACAGTTAATAAAGATCGGGCTTACTAGCTACTTTGCTTCTCAATAGTCTTTGGTTGTTCTCTGTTATTTTCTCCTACCAATAGAGAACCTACAAAAGGACTCTATATGGGCTCTTGGGTACCCCATAAGGGAAAAGGAGCAGTTTTTTACAGTGCAAGACCTAAGCAATCAACTTTAAGTCAATTTAGATTCAATCTTATAGCAGCTTATGTGGAAGTAAGCCACTCTGAACTCAATGGGATTTACTTCTGAGTAGACTTGCTATAGCATTGCACTGTCAGTTATGTCAGTGCCGTTCTGCAGTAAAGTTGGAGGAAATCACCTTACATCTAAATTATTAGAGCAGTTCTATGCATGCATGCCCATGAGTAAGCTCTGTCAAATACAATGGTGCTTACTTCTGAGTAAATATGCAGAGGACTGCATTGTTAAATACTGACTGGTAAATTTATCATTGAGACTGTAGAGTACTGAAATAGCTAATGATTGCTTATATGTGTAAATATTTGCAAGTAGGGTTTGAATAAGGAACAAAGGAAACCAAACAACGGGTAGCAATTAAAGGTCACATTGAAATCCATGAGTAAAGTCCAAATTCACTTCTCACTGCAAGAAGTGAGGTTACAGGGAGCCAGGCAGAGGGTCCCATCAGATGTCAAGGAAATAAACAACTATCTGACTTTTAGAAGACATCTGAAGGCGGCCCTGTTTAGGGAAGTTTTAATGGTTGATGTTTTATCACATCATCATCATCATCATCATTATTATTATTATTATTATTATTATTATTATTATTGCTGCTGCTGCTGCTGTTGTTGTTGTTGGGAGCCGTTCAGAGTAGCTGGGGAAACCCAGCCAGATGGGCACCGTATAAATAATAATTATTACTACTATTATTACTGTTTAAACTTTGTGAAACCAAAACCTGTTTTGCATTAATAGGGTGTGAAAAGTGATTAACAGATGGATTTGTCTAGAGGTTCCTTTAAAACAATTTTAAAATGGAGAATAAGAATCAAACTAAAACTCTCCATTATGTACCTTGTTATTTTATTAGATGCTTATCCCACTTGTCAGACAAATATTGTCTCCCAATTTTATTCAATTTATACTTGAATAAATTAACTTGGAGTAGCAAAACTTTAAATTCTGCCGTATGAATTTTCTAGAATGGGAAAAGTCGTCCCACAATATATTTCTCAGCCTTTAAAGTAAAACATAGCTCTGTTTAAAACAGACCAACGAAGCCCCAGTGTTGGAATGGAAACCAACATTACCTTACTAAAGTGGTAGAAAGTTGTGCTCGAAAAAAAGCTCATCTCTCATCTCAGCCAGGGATGGTCTCAGTGGCAAAGTCACTCTTTGAGTTTCAGTGTGCTATCTGTAAAATGGCAATAATAATAATAAAAGAATATTGTAAAACATTCTGCATTTTGCTAAACATGTATTTTTAAAGTTTAAGAAACGAGGGAAGGTCGCTAGAATAACCTGTGGCGATTAGTCCTGCAATTCTGTGGAGGCCAATCCTATAACATATTTACTCAAAAACAAATGTGTTGACTGGAGAGCCAGTGTGGTGTAGTGGTTAAGAGTGGTAGACTCGTAATCTGGTGAACCGGGTTTGCATCTCCGCTCCTCCACATGCAGCTGCTGGGTGACCTTGGGCCAGTCACACTTCTCTGAAGTCTCTCAGCCCCACTTACCACACAGAGTGGTTGTTGGGAGGGATAGATATAAAAACAGTGTGTCTATAACTGCAGCCTAAGAATAATAATAATATTTCCCCTTGTAAAGTGCTTCAAGTCCATTGATGTTTTCGGTTCCTGGTTTGCATCCTCTCCTCCTCTTTTGCTTTAATTTGAGTTCCGTTGTGGTTTGTGGGAGGAAAAAGCTCTTGCAAAGTAACAAATTTCAGGTGGAGAGGCGGAATCTATCTAAAACCGGCAAATAAAATTCTAATACCTCCCAAAGGAGGTTATATATATCCATACACACACACACACACACACACACACACACACATATACATACATATATACATTGTTGTTGTTGTTTAGTCATTTAGTCGTGTCCGACTCTTCGTGACCCCACACATACATATATACATACATACACACACATATATATATTCTCGCACATACATAAACGTTGCATCATAAACCTCACTGTCCCAAGCATAACCTTTCCCCAACCACAAACGTAACTACAAAGTGTTAAGTTGTGGGTGAACATATCAGACCACACAGCGATTCTTCAAACAGCTCTTGTTTATTCACAGGCCAGAACAGAACTGAAGGGTTCAGTCAGCCTGCTTATATAGAGCTCCACTACAACACAACTGTAACACTTTCTGTAACTATCCAATCACTGAACGTCACTTTCAATCCCTTATTTGCATATGTGGACCTGAGTGAAAACTATCTACAGTATTTCCCCTGCTGGCCCAGGGTGAGAACTTCAGTACATAACACAAACCTTCCCGCAGCCCACTAAGGGAAGATAGCAACACAGCCCATAATTAAACGCAAAATCGGAACTGCCCATTTGTTCCAAATCCAATTAAAACGTCAATTCAACAAAATGGCTGAACTTGACCCAAGGATACCAGCTTTGAAAAGTCAGTTATTTTTACTTTCTGCACCCCTCTAGGGAATCCCAGTGCCCGCCTCCAACCACTGCTTTTGAATGACTTTTCCATTCAGTATTGGCGCGGGAAAGAAGAAATCGTCCAGTTTTGTTCTAGAGGAAGCTCTGGAGCATTTGTTTCCCTTTTTAAAATTTTATTTGCTAAGCATTTGCGGTCCGATCCGGTTGCGCGCCGTCGGGCTTCCTTGCGCGTGGGAAGGAAGCTGACTCGCTCTTCTGGTTTGCGCAGGAACTGCGAGCCGCTCAGCGCCACTCCCCAAAAAGGGAGCCTCGCCAACAAGGCTGTTGTTCGTCAGAACGGGTAATGGCGGACGCCGAAGTTTGGAGACTGCCATCTTGAGAAGGGGAAGCCACCGGGGAGCGCGGATCGGGAAGTGAGGTTGCGCGAGTAGGGCTTGCTCAGAGGTAAGGAGCGGTGTCGCCGGCATGGCGCGCTTTGTAAGGCGCGCGGTGAGAAAAAGGATCCGCAAGCCAAAACCGGGCTGCTTCTGAAAGTGCGGCTTGGAATAACTCCCAAGTCGTGTGAACGGGGTGGGAGGAGGAGGAGGAGGAGGGATCGGCGCCCGTTTCTCGCGAGCCCATGCGGGTTTACTCGGAAGTAAGCCCCGCCGAATCGCGCGCTCGCAAGTTTCCGCACCGCGTCTCTCCTCTTTGGAGAGGTACCAGCTGCGGGTCCTCTGCTCTCGACCCCGTGAAACGTTGGGGATATTTCTGAATAAAGATTTTTATTTTTATTTTAAGGAAGTCGGCTTGTAAGGAAAGGCTACTTCGAGGGTTAACGTCAGAGCTGCGACATAAACCGCTTTTTATATAAAAAAGAACAGCATCGGGTGATAACGAGATAAGCGCGTTGTGCGCCAAGGACGCCGTTTCGGTTTTGTTTCTGGCCAAAGTCCATACGCATTAGAAGGGCGTTACGCGTTTCCGCCAGCATTATTCTTATTTTAAGGGTTATTCTTTGATGAAAAGGGAACATCCGAGGCTGTGACGAGAATGGCTTAACCTTTCTATCTTTGTCTGCTTTCCCAAAGAGAAGAAAGTCGTAGGAGACGTTTTTTTTAAAAACTTCTTACATGAGCTCAGTGAGAGCCCTTTCCTGTTGATATCTCCCCCCCCCATAATATTTATTAAGTTTCATACAAATACAACACATACTGTAAAACCAATGAAACAAAAGGAAAATAAAAATAAAAAAGAAATAAAACAAATATAGCAAATAGTAACCAAAAATATAACCACAAACACATAGACAATAAAAGTTAATTAATTAATTAAACTTCCAACTTCATAATATATTGCTTGACTTCTCTTCTATCTGAATTTCCTTGTAACTAAATGTAGCAGTTTTCCAATATCACTATTCAAAAAACAATATTCCGATTATAATCAAATTTCTTAACATTCCTATCCTGTTGATATCTTTACCCCAGTGGTTTTGTTGGAAGGTAACAGATCTCTTAGGGACGCGGGTGGCGCTGTGGGTAAAAGCCTCAGTGCCTAGGGCTTGCCGATCCTCCCGTCGTTCGGTCCCAGCGCCTGCCAACCTAGCAGTTCGAAAGCATGTCAAAGTGCAAGTAGATAAATAGGGACCGCTTACTAGCGGGAAGGTAAACGGCGTTTCCGTGTGCGGCTCTGGCTCGCCAGAGCAGCGATGTCACGCTGGCCACGTGACCCGGAAGTGTCTGCGGACAGCGCTGGCTCCCGGCCTCTTGAGTGAGATGGGCGCACAACCCTAGAGTCTGGCAAGACTGGCCCGTACGGGCAGGGGTACCTTTACCTTTACCTAACAGATCTCTTATAAGCGAGCGCGTGATTTCAGTGTGAACAGTTGTTCTGGTCACTTTAATGGGTTTTCGGAAAACTCCCACGTAAATATGCCAAGAGCCAATTTCAACACAACAATAGCGATACAATGGCAGGAATGCATAGCAAAGCGACAAAGTAGCCTGGAACTCTTATTCCAGATTCATTAACTTGAAGTGGTTTTTTAAAAAGGCACAAAAATCCAGTTATTTACAATTAAGCCTGTTTCTGACAACATCCTTTACTGTATTAGCTTAGATTGCAGAAATGAATGATTGGAACAAGTGGGTAGGCAAAAAATCCCCCACCTGCATAACATTTAAAGGATTTCGGTATGGAGGTTTATTTTCTACCAGACAGGTGTCTATTTGGAGTTTCCTGTTTGAATCATAATTATATTCAAAAGCAAGCGTTTTCCCCCTCAAGAGAAATTCTCAATCACATGCTTGAAAGCACATGTGATTACATATGTCATTCTGAAGTATTAGTTATTTCCCCTTTTGCCCGGAGTTCTTGTGAGTTTCCCAGAGGAAAGCCCCACATCCTAATTAGCAACAGAGGGGTTATATGTACATCACATAGCCTCCCCCCCCAAAAAAAAGATTCCTGGGAATTATAGAGGTGTTTGCTTTAAATCAGGCATGTCCAAAGTCCATAACAGGGACCTAATCCGGCCCACCGGTTGGTTTAATCTGGCCCCTGTGGGGTCGGCCCCCATGGCCCTTCACTTCATCAAAACTGGCCCTCTTTGAAAAAAGTTTGGACACCACTGCTTTAAATATATTATGTGTACATGACTGAGGAGGAAAAAATGCAGTTCAGGAATTGGCTGATTTGCAGTAGATCACCAACAAGGGTGTCTGACTCCCAGTTGTCTAGAAACAACAAAACTGTCAAAGGTGTGACTTGGTTCCAATATTGACCACCAATTTCTGGCCTGAGCATGTGGTTCCTGAATTCCTAACATACGTCCCCTCACTGAACCACTATTTTACACAAAGTACATCTCGCAAGCCTGAAATCTGCCCATCCCCGAACTGTTTCTCCCAGCAACTTGGGTGTAGCCAGACCTCCTCACTGGTCAAAAGATGGATTGGCGCAGCTGTGGAAATTACATACCCATTGGTTTCTGTACGAAATCCAGGAAATGGAAGAGTCAACCCATTCCTTTTCCAGGATCATATCCTTCTTCTTCTTTGGGGATCACTCATAGTCGAGTAAGATTGTCTTCCATGAATACGGTCTTAACAGTGAGTCCGTAAGTGACTGTGGAGGCCAATTCTGGATCCACATGTCCTTCCACAGTGGGGGACATAGGTTTCCGGGCGGGAGTTGATCACGGTGTGGATTTGCCAAGTGTGCCTTCCTCTTAGCATGTTTCTCCCTTGCGTCCTGAGTTCGAGCATCTTCAAAGCCCATGACACCTTTGGTAAAGGCTGTTCTCCAACTGGAGCGCTCGCAGGCCAGTGTTTCCCAGTTGTCAGTGTTTATACTACATTTTTAAAGATTTGCCCTGAGAGAGTCTTTAAACCTCTTTTGTTGACCACCAGCATCATGCTTTCCATTTTTAAGTTCGAAATAGAGTAGTTGCTTTGGAAGACGATAATCAGGCATCTGAAAAACATGACCAGGATCATATTCTTGTTGTTGTTTAGTCGTTTAGTCGTGTCTGATTCTTCGTGACCCCATGGACCAGAGCACGCCAGGCACTCCTGTCTTCCACTGCCTCCCCCAGTTTGGTCAAACTCATGCCGGTAGCTTCGAGAACACTGTCCAACCATCTCATCCTCTGTCGTCCTCTTCTCCTTGTGCCCTCCATCTTTTCCAGGAAGTCTTCTCTTCTCATGAGGTGGCCAAAGTATTGGAGCCTCAGCTTCAGGATCTGTCCTTCCAGTGATCAGGATCATATTACTTTAAATTAAAGTAGGAGGAGGTAGAGGAGAGAGAAACCAGGAAGTTTCAATAGGACATCATGGCTCCTAATCTGGAATTATTATTACTCGTTAATTGTTTATGCTTTTATTCCGAGAGTGTGTGACCCTGCTAAGCACGACACAGCAAGCCAAACTATGGTTTTCAAGCCTGCATGAACATGTAGGCTCCCAGAGAGGACTTTATTCCTTCGCAGTCCTTTTTACTTCCTCCCTGAGATAATTTCGTAGCTAGTGAGGGAGGCGCTTAACCATGAATCCCGCTTCACACAACACACTAAGCCAAACTTTGTGTTAGCTCCACGCACCACAGCTGTCTCATCATGCCATAGATTGGTTTATCCTGTCAGGTGAACTAGTCCCACGACTGTTTAATGTTTCAAACTTCCTCTTATCTTTTGAAGTCTAGATGGATATACAATATATTTATTGTCATTGTCCCATGCAGAACAATGAAATTGAAAAACTACATAAAACTACTACAAAACGACATAAAATCTACTATGGATGTCTTAAAACAAATTGTCACGCAGCAGGAATGCTATAATTGTCACCAAATAAGAAAGACAGGAATTCCCCAACTTGGCATCTTTTGGCACTATGCCCTTGTGCATTTTTTGTTTTATTTTTTAAAAATGGGGATTTGTTGTTTTTTAAATGGCCGGAGCTTCCTTCATGGATAGAGGGGCTTTTCTGAATGGTGGGGGTAGTCAAGTATGCTGGGTGTGTTTGTGTGAGAAAAGGAGAAATGTACATGTGCTCTTCAGTGCTTCAAATTAACTCTTCCCCTTGGCTTATTTGTTTTGCAAGAAAATACATCAAGGGGGATGACTGATTTTTAAAAGTATGCATGTGATGTGTGGAATGTCGTTGACATGACTTTCAAGGATGAAGAATGTTTCTGATCAGATAATGGAGAGCCCACTTCCTCTGTCATTCTTGGTCCCCCAGGAGCTAATTTCAGGACTGAAAACATTATCTGGACAGCCGATACAGAAGGCTTTAATTTCTCAGGACTTTTGCCCATGAGCAGAAGGATCCAGCCGGCTTATGAACAGGCAGTTTTAATTTTTAGGTAGGTTTGATTTGTCATGTCTTTGCTGAAATTTCGAAGAATATTCTTTTGGTCATTTGCATCCTATTATTGGGCTTAACCTGGTTTTTGGATCTTCATAGGTCATTATTGGGAAAGAGGCTGGGTGTCTCTTAAAATGCAGTTAGGTCCTTCTTTTCTTCAATTTGGATCAATGCTGGTTTGGGGGGAAATGCCGTATTTTGTAATAAATGGCAAGATAGTTCTGGACTGCAGATTTTATGCTAGTGGGAACGCACATTTAATGGGAGAGCCACTGGTTCTCTGATCAAAACCTCTGTAGCCTGCATAAATCCTATTCAGTACTTTATTCAGAAATGTATTCAGTGGGGCTTCCTCCCACATAAAGATGCATAACATTGCAACCTTAGGCTCACGGTTGCTTTATTTGAAATTTTCTGAAATTCTCTTTCAGAGTAGGTCTTCACTGTACTCCTTTTCAGCGTGGGAAGAGCATACTTTTTATTTCATTTCATTTTGATCCTGCCCTTCCTTTAAGGAATTTAAGGCAGAGTATCTCACCCCCCTTTTCCCCTCATGGAGAATGCGGATTTGAACCTGCCAAACTAGTGCAGCCCCAAAGTCTTATTTGTTGATATTATCTGGGGGAAAGAGAGTCTGTCCCTTTAAGACTCCCATCATATCCCTCTCAAACCCTTCCTATCAGTTCTCTTGTGTATCAGGCAGTCATTCCAGGTATAAGTATTTTGATCCTTGGCATTCTTCTTCATTGTCTCTTCGAATTCTTTCTGCATCGAACCTAGGAAAATGTCATAAGTGCACAAGCAGGAAAATCCTCCCTTCTTTTGTGATGGATTGGCAGAGAATGGGTTTAAGCCAGGCATAGGCAAACTCTGGCCCTCCAGATGTTTTGAGACTACAGTTCCCATCATCCCTGACCACTGGTCCTGTTAGCTAGGGATGATGGGAATTGTAGTTCCAAAACATTTGGAGGGCCGACGTTTGCCTATGCCTGGTTTAAGCTATAGTAGCTGCCACTGAATTCAACAATTCCTCTTGTACTACTGTATTTGCCTTCCCCTCCAAAATGTTTATAAGCTTTCAGTTGGAAGGCACTGCAATTATTAATATTAATATTATTATTATTTATACCCCGCCCATCTGGCTGGGTTTCCCCAGCCACACTGGGCCACTCCCAATAGAATATAAAAACACGATAAATACGCCAAACATTAAAAACTTCCCTAAACAGGGCTGCCTTCAGATGTCTTCTAGAAGTCAGATAGTTGTTTATTTCCTTGACATCAGCTGGGAGGGTGTTCCACAGGGCGGGCGCCATTACCGAGAAGGCCCTCTGTCTGGTTCCCTGTAATCTTGCTTCTCGTATGGAGGGAACTGCCAGAAGGCCCTTGGCACTGGACCTCTGTGCCTGGGCTGGACGATGCAATTAGGGTTATTTGGAGTTCCTAGTGATAGCATGAAAAGCTTTTAAAATAATATTTCCATATTGCTGATGGTTTAGTGTTCACTGGCACAAGTAAAAGCAGAATGAAAACTATTTTCCCCTCCAGAAGACATGGCAAAATGTAAATAGCAATCTTATGCTTATGCTCCAAAGTAAGTCTCATCGTGTTTAATAGGGTTTCCTCTCCAGCAAGTTCTTTTTATTGCAATCCTTTAACCACTTTATACTTTACCTGGGAATAATAATAATAATTTATTATTTATACCCCGCCCATCTGGCTGGATTTCCCCAGCCACTCTGGCCGGCTTCCAACAAAGTACAGTGGTACCTTGGGTTACATACGCTTCAGGTTACATACGCTTTAGGTTACACACTCCGCTAACCCAGAAATATTACCTCGGGTTAAGAACTTTGCTTCAGGATGAGAACAGAAAACGTGCTCCGGCGGTGCAGCGGCAGCAGGAGGCCCCATTAGCTGAAGTGGTGCTTCAGGTTAAGTACAGTTTCAGGTTAAGAACAGACCTCCAGAACGAATTAAGTTCTTAACCCGAGGTACCACTGTATTAAAATACAGTGGTCTGTTAAACCTTAAAAGCTTCCCTCAACAGGGCTTCCTCTGGGGATCTGTATAGGATTACTCTGTAAAAGACTGAGCTGCCCTCGCCTCACTAACCAGCCTTAGGGAAGTCACTTTCTCTCATCCTTAGCCCTCCCCGCCCCTTAGAATAATAATAAAAAAGACTTCAACTGTGTGGGAGTAGTTTATCGGAATATGACTTCTCTGTTTCAGCATGTATTTTTTGACTCGTTTGCTTCCTCTTGGGCATTCCTATCCGTGGGATTGTTAAAATTTTTGGTGTGAACTGGGCATTCCATTTTTACATTCAGTCTGTGTCTTGTGCAATCACGAAAAGACCAGGCTTTTACAGAACTTCAGCAGTTCAAGGGCCAAGCTTGACCTGAGGATTGCAGCGGATGAGACAACAAACCTAAGTGCGTCTTGGGTACAGTTCTGTACATTGTATATCTCATGGTCTTTTTCTCTCTCTTCTTCTTCATACAGCTTTTATTTTTCACATTAAAGACCCGAAAGCGAAGCCCGGCTGCTGGAGACCAAGGGGGAAGGAGGCTATTGTGTTCAGAAGAAAAAGGCTCATGACTTGGCTTTCCTGTTTAGGAAACACGCACGGCTTTTTAAAGGGACAGTGGCTTGTGATGACAGTTCCCCAAGTGCCCGCTGTCCTCCTTCACCGAATTGAACAGGAACTGGACGCGGAGGAAAGGGAAACCATGCAGTATTTGTGCCGAGATCTTGTTCCTGACGTACCTGCGGCAGAGACCCGGAAACTCTTCGTGGCTTTGAACGAGAGGGAGATACTGACGCTCAGCACTTTGTCTGAACTCCTGTACAGACTGAAGAGATTTGACTTGCTGCGGAAAGTCCTGGGGACTGGGAGGGCAGCTGTGGAAGCCAGTTTGTCTCAGTTTCCCCCGTTGATACCAAAGTACAGGTGAGTTCAGTGCATCGGTTTCCTCCATGGCTAGTGATTTAAGGTAGCCACATTCACTTGGCTGTTTCATATATTTTTTTAATAATATTTTTATTAATTTTAACATATGAATTAGGATACATACCACAAAACCTCACCACTTATACAATCTTTTTATGGACTCCCATCAGCACCTCTGACGATCCCCCGTTTTAACCACTTCTTATGCATTTCTTAAATTCATATTGCCTTTAATTATCTTAACTAATCATCCTCCCCTTTATTCATTTTTGCAATAGTTCCAATAATTCACCTCACAAAACTTCTTGCAAACCTACAAACGTAGTTTGATCATCACTATTACTTTTCAAATAGTCTGTAAATTTACACCAGTCTTCTGTGAATTTCTGGTCCCGCAGATTTCGAATCCTTCCTGTTAGTTTGTCTAATTCTGCATAGTCCATTAATTTCATCCTCCATTCTTCTTTCGTCAGTAATTCTTCTTGCTTCCGTTTTTGTGCTAATAATATTCTTGCTGCCATCGTTGCATATAAAAACAGCTAACATTCTTTTCTATTTATATCACTTCCTACCATGCCCAGTAAAAATGCTTCTGGTTTCTTTATAAATGTGTATGTCAACATTTTTTCATCTCATTATATATCATTTCCTAGAAGCTTTTCACTTTTTTACATTCCCAGCACATGTGATAAAATGTCCTTCTTTTTCTTTACATTTCCAACATTTGTTGCTAACTTTATACATTTTTAGCTAATTTAACAGGTGTAATATACCATCTATACATCATTTTCATCACATTTTCTTTTGGCTGTTTCATATTTAAACATCAAGACAGATCAGATGGCAGTATTTTGGTAGGGCCTCAGCATATATTTTGCAGTGCCGTATTGTTTCCTCTTCTCTCTCCAGAGGAAAACATCCAAATTAAATCAAGATAGTAAATCAGATCAACTCCATGCTTTCCAACTCCCATGTGGGCATGAGATGCGAAGAAGGGGCAAGTGGGTTCTGTCCCCGTGTCCAGTGTCATCCACCACAACCCCCGCCCAGTGCATGCCAGGAAACAAACCACAAAACAGGATTCAGATAACCTGACTTGCTAGACTCTGGCTTATGTCAGCAGAGCTGCAGCAGGAGCTTTTGAGCAATGTGCCTTGGTTTGTTTCAAACTATAGTTTTAATGTGTTGTGCAAACCAGACCGCTGAGAGGGGGAAAGAATGCCTTCTGCTGAGTCAAGAGCATTATTATTATTATTATTTTATTTTATTTATTTATTTATACATACATACATACATACATACATACCCCGCTCATCTGGCTGGGTTTCCCCAGCCACTCTGGGCGGCTTCCAGCAAAATATTAAAATACAATACAGTTGTACCTCAGGTTACATACGCTTCAGGTTACATACGCTTCAGGTTAAAGACTCCGCTAACCCAGAAATAGTGCTTCAGGTTAAGAACTTTGCTTCAGGATGAGAACAGAAATGGGGCTCTGGCGGCACGACAGCAGCAGGAGGCCCTATTAGCTAAAGTGGTGCTTCAGGTTAAGAACAGTTTCAGGTTAAGTACAGACCTCCGGAACAAATTAAGTACTTAACCTGAGGTACCACTGTAGTCTGTTAAACATTAAAAGCTTCCCTAAACAGGGCTGCCTTCAGATATCTTCTAAAAGTCTGGTAGTTGTTTTTCTCTTTGACATCTGGTGGGAGGGCGTTCCACAGGGCGGGCGCCACTACCGAGAAGGCCCTCTGCCTGGTTCCCTGTAACTTGGCTTCTCGCAGGGAGGGAACCGCCAGAAGGCCCTCGGCGCTGGACCTCAGTGTCCGGGCGGAACGATAGGGTTGGAGACACTCCTTCAGGTATACTGGACCGAGGCTGTTTAGGGCTTTAAAGGTCAGCACCAACACTTTGAATTGTGCTCGGAAACGTACTGGAAGCCAGTGTAGGCTCTGTATTGTGTACACGAGTCTTATTCAGACTTCCATCAGCCCCAGCCATCATGGCTACTAGAGATGATGGGATATGGAGTTTTAAAACAACCAACTTGGGGAAGGCTGGTCCATGCCGACCAGAAGTGGCTTTTCAGATAGAAGCCTGTTCCAACTCTAGCTGGAGATGCCAGGGACTGGACTTGTACATGCAGGTGTATGACTTCTTTCTCAGTTTCCACTTTTCAGCTTCTTTCTCAGTGTCTCCCACGCAGCATTAAATGAGCAGCACATTGTGCTCCTTCATTATTTCTTTTTTGAAACTGCAAGGCTGAGAAGGACTCAGTTTTTCAGGAGCTCACCTGCCTGAATCGCTGACCCGGACTTTGCCATGCCTCCTGTTTCGTGTCACAGTAGCTTCTTATGCAGATACAGGATAGGGCAACTTCCTTTAGAGGTGAGAGATTCTGCTACAAGTCTGCATTGGCAGTGATGGAACGCTCCTGTCATATTCAGTGCATGAATACAGCAGAAATCCACTCTCAGAATGGGTACCCTGGACTGACTACAGCCTATATTCATTCATTCCTTGCAATTCACAGTGCAGTCCTGTGCATTTTTTCCTTCGGAGATAAGTCCAGTTGTGTCCTTCTACTCCCAGAAGGTTGTTTCCTCCAGCTGAGCTTTCCATGAACAGAAAGGGGAAGACAGGTGATTTTTAGTAATATTCCCCTTTTTCCTGCAACTTCCTACACTGTTTCAAAGGATCAAGAGTAGCTCAGGAGAGAAGTGAGAACCAACCAAACCACTCTCCTCCAATTCTACTCACTGCATCCAAGAGACTTCCATGAGTGAAGGATCATAACCCATTGTGTTTAATTCCCCTAGTTAAATGTTTTTGGGACAGCAGGTGGAGAATGATTGTTCCAGTCCATGAGCATAAATACTGTACAGTGGTACCTCAGGTTACATATGCTTCAGGCTACAGACTCCGCTACCCCGGAAATAGTGCTTCAGATTAAGAACTTTGCTTCAGGATGAGAAGAAAAATCGTGCTCCGGCGGTGCGGCAGCAGCAGGAGGCCCCATTAGCTAAAGTGGTGCTTCAGGTTAAGAACAGTTTCAGGTTAAGAACGGACCTCCGGAACGAATTAAGTACTTAACCAGAGGTACCGCTGTAGTGTAAAAAAGCAGGGTGTCTTTGTGTGTGCTTAAAAAATTGGTTCAGGAAGGAATTGTGTGTGGTATGGGAAGTACTGACTGACCCAGTCATCCAGAGAAATGGGATTATGAATTAATTTCAGATGGCAACTCTCTGTGTTTGTGTGCAGGGTGCTAATGGCAGAAATCAGCAAGGAACTGGATGAAGAAGATCTGCATTCCTTTATGTTCCTCATGATGAACGATACATCCTATGGGAAGACAGCAAAAGAGAAGGTTTGTTACCTCTGTCTGAAATCCTGGAGCTTCACAAAACTGTGAAGCTGTTAAGCTTAAAGGCCTCCTTTGTGTGAAAAGCCGCGTGCTTCCTTTTAATGGAAAGAGAACAGATACTCGGAAGGAAGTTTGAGGGGGGGGAAACCTTGAGCGGTGTTTCCCAAACTTGAGTCTCCATCTGTTTTTCGACTACAGTTACCATCACCCCTGACCACTGGTCCTGCTAGCTAGGGATGATGGAAATTGTAGTCCACAAACAGCTGGTTTGGGAAACCCTGAACCAGAGGATAGCTCAGTGTGGCCCTCAAAGGCCTCTCCCCGGCCCTTGGCACTGTCATCAGTCCAGCTGCACATTGCCCTCAAGTGGTTTTGCCAGTGTGCAGTGCTGGGTTGCAACTGTGATAATGCTTCTTGCTTGGCTGATGAAGAGACGTAGCTGTGTCAAAAACCTTCTGACGTTTGCACAGCTGGAATGTAGAGTTCTTTGCCAACGTAAAAGTTCCAATTTCCAATTAAACTTTTTATTTGTGAATGGCATCATTCAGAAGGAGAACAAAAAGGAAAACAACAATAACCATAAAAATCATCTGGTACAGACATACAATAAAACCATGGTCACGGCTACTAAAATTATTTGTTGCATATAGAATAGAATAGAAGAAGATTCTCGGGTAAGATGTGCCAAATTAAATATCCGAATCCCCTTTGCAGTTGACTTCTATTTTGTCTAGTTCCTTCCTCCTGATCTTCTTAGCTGCCAAGCGCATAGAGTGCTACTTTATGAGTAACAAAGTCGTCGGTGTCGCTCAGCAGCCATTTCACCCTTTCCACTCTATTCAAATGTGTTCCATTCGTAAACAGAGGCTTTATAATTCAGTCTCTTGGGTCTATATATAACAGGCACTGCAATAAATAATGGCACAGGTCCTCGACGCAGGGTTGTCCACACAGACAGAGTCTCTCTTCGTAATGTACTGTATTTTTCGCTCTATAAGACGCACCAGACCACAAGACGCACCTAGTTTTTGGAGGAGGAAAACAAGAAAAAAAATATTCTGAATCTCAGAAGCCAGAACAGCAAGAGGGATCGCTGCGCAGTGAAAGCAGCAATCCCTCTTGCTGTTCTGGCTTCTGGGATAGCTGCGCAGCCTGCATTCGCTCCATAAGACGCACACACATTTCTCCTTACTTTTTAGAAGGGAAAAAGTGAGTCTTATAGAGCAAAAAATACGGTACTTTGCCATACTGTCCATCCAACACTGCCGAGGGCATCGATTGGAATCATAGTTCTGTAAAAGCGGTTCTTAGTGCGGCAAGTGGGAGCTTTGTCAGGTATCTCGCTCGAGCATACTCCATTTTGATAAGTGGGAACCATGGTGAGCTCTTGCCTACGTAAGAGTTGCAGCTGTTGCTCTGCCTAGTCCCATCCACCATTGGCAATGTGGCCCCTGGATGAATAAGTTTTTCTACTTTGGTGATCAGGGCAGAATGAATAAATGCAGTGGAACAGAAAGATCAGGATAGAAAGCAATGGGGCTAGTATTATAATGCCCTTTCAAATGTGTGGGTGGAAAAATCATCATCAATCTTTATTACGGTCCACAGACCCAACAAATCGTTACAAAGCAATACACAATTCATACAGCCTACCTCCAGGTTAAACAAGCATTTTGTTCAGAATTTAGGGATCATTGGTTCTTGCAACCACCGATAAAAACTTGGCCACTGCTAATGTTCTAGCATTTGTCCGGTCTTCCAGTAGGAACCTGACATAGTGAGCCTCTGATTTTCCCGGCAAAGGTACCAGCAAAGGTAGTATCAGTTCAGCTCTGGCCTGCTCATATTTTGCACGATGCAACAAAATATGATTTATGGAATGGATGTCTTGAGCACACGAGCAAAGTCTGTCCTGGTAGGGAACTCCTCTCAACCTGCCATCCAACACTGCAGAAGGAAAGACATTTAGTCTGGCTTTTGTGAAAAGCCTTCAATAGTTTGGTACTGTCAGGTTTTTAATGTAATATGTTAACTTAAAGACATGCCCATATTGTACTCCTACTGCCAGCGGACTACAGACTGCGTGTGATCGAGATCGCAAGTCACTGTGTGCATTATCCCATAATCTTTGCTTTAATGTCTTTAGGGCGCCTTCATAACCCAGGTAATACAGTTGGGGGGGGGGGTGACAGACCAATAGAGGTGGCTTTTTTAGCCATGGTGGAAGAATCTGTTCCCATGAAAGTCAAATACATTAACGGGTTTGATCGGACGTTGCTATAAACAGCTTTTGGCTTGGCGTGTCCCAAAGGCAGCAAAGCCCATCATGTTAAATTCAGCAGAGAGCATCGTTCTATCATTCCAACCGGGTACCAAATCCAGACAGCAAAGGGCAATGTGGAAAGGCATTGGGTGGTTGCCTAGTCAACTCATGGGGTTTTGTTGTTTTTTTTTTTTGGTTTTTTTTTTGCCTTCCTGGAATTCCACAAAAATGCAAGCACCTTTTCATAGGCATTCTATGTAATAACACACTTCTAAAAAAAAACCCTGATTTGCTTGTTTCTAAAGCTGGTTTTCAGTTGGATCTTTTCTCTGCTACATGCTCTGAGGAATTGGAGCAGAGCAAATTCAAACTCTAAATGACTGAGTAGAGAAAAGAAAGAAGTTGTCTGTTCCTCTTTCTCTTTCTTCTCTTTCTCTTTTCATCCGCCCCCAAACCAAGGGTGCTGTTAATAGTGCAGTTGTTCCTGCACTAGAATTTTGAAAGGATTGATCTGTGTCTCACAAGGGGAATATCAGTATTTACAATAGTTAGAATTATGTCTCGTATGTATATGAGACATGTCTTAGATATGAGTCAAGAGTTCTGTAGCTGACTGAGCAGGGGAGAGAAATGCAAATCATTCATCTGAGAACTTATTTTGGTGGGTCTTGCAAGAGCTCCAGGCTCTCTTTCAGCTCTCGATGTGATAGCAAACAAAACTTCTGCAATCCGTTCTCCCACCCGAAGGTTTCTTCGATGAGGACCCTTTTTGATCCAGTAGATTAAGGGAACCTTGGGCCCAGGGCTGAATGTGGCCCTCCAAGCTTCCATATCTGGTCCTTGAGACTCTTTCACATGCCACACCCCTTACTGGTCTTTCACCACAAAGTCCTTTGCTGGGTTGGAATATGCCATTTTATACTTATAACGCCTCTCGTTTTCCTGGGTGGTGTGAATTTTTGTAGAAACTAGTAAAGGTAAAGGGACCCCTGACCATTAGGTCCAGTCGTGACCGACTCTGGGGTTGCGGCGCTCATCTCGCTTTACTGGCCGAGGGAGCCGGCATACAGCTTCCGGGTCATGTGGCCAGCATGACCAAGCCGCTTCTGGTGAACCAGAGCAGCGCACGGAAACGCCGTTTACCTTCCCGCCCGAGCGGTACCTATTTATCTACTTGCACTTTGAAGTGCTTTCGAACTGCTAGGTTGGCAGGAGCAGGGACCGAGCAGCGGGAGCTCACCCTGTCACGGGGATTCGAACCGCTGATCTTCTGATCGGCTAGTCCTAGGCTCTGTGTTTTAACCCACAGCGCCACTAGCTTACTGTAAATACTGAACTGTGCTAGCTTACTGAACAAATGAATGTGGCCCCTGGAAAGCTGTCCAGAAAGCCAAGTAGCCTTTGAACTGAAAATGTTTCCCCATCCCTGCTATAAATAAAAGTCTAGGGCTTTCCATATAAGATCCAGGCTCAAACTCTGCTCAGCAGTAAACTCACAGTGTTGGCAGCTTTGCGCTCATGCCACCGTGTCTTGGACTCAGTTCCTCATCTGTAAAATGGGGGAAATCTACTTTGCAGTGTTTTCAGATGGGCGGAGTAATATTTTTTGCTTACTCGCAAGGTAGCCTATGTAGGAAACGCTAGTGCCAGTGTTGGTTGTACACATCAACCAAAAAGAAAAAAATATATTTATGGCCTCTGAAATATTAAAATAAAGCATATTGTTTCCCATTTTGTTTCTCTGGCCTACTTGCAAGTTGGATGCGTACTGCTTGGTCTGCTGTTTTATACGTTTGTTCTAATTCTCTTACAGACTTTCCTGACAATCATAACTGACCTTGAGAACCTAGACCTGGTGTCTCCTAGCCGCCTAGATTTTCTGGAAGATTGCTTCTTGCACATGCGCAGGAGAGACTTGGTGAAGAGGATCCAGAAGTTCAAGCAGGAAGGTAAGGCTGTGAAATATTTGTTGTTGTTTAGTCGTTTAGTCGTGTCCGACTCTTCATGACCCCATGGACCAGAGCATGCCAGGCACTTCTGTCTTCCACTGCCTCCCGCAGTTTGGTCAAACTCATGCTGGTAGCTTCGCAAACACTATCCAACCATCTCGTCCTCTGTCGTCCCCTTCTCCTTGTGCCCTCCATCTTTCCCAACATTCGGGTCTTTTCCAGGGAGTCTTCTCTTCTCATGAGGTGGCCAAAGTATTGGAGCCTCAGCTTCAAGATCTGTCCTTCCAGTGAGCACTCAGGGCTGATTTCCTTAAGAATGGATCGGTTTGTTCTTCTTGCAGTCCATGGGACTCTCAAGAGTCTCCTCCAGCACCATAATTCAAAAGCATCAATTCTTCGGCGATCAGCCTTCTTTATGGTCCAGCTATCACTTCCATACATCACTACTGGGAAGACCATAGCTTTAACTATACGGACCTTTGTCAGCAAGGTGATGTCTCTGCTTTTTAAGATGCTGTCTCGGTTTGGAAGGGCACTTTATTTATTCCTGTAACGCAAGGTCTTCCCTGATTGTGCCAATTCTGAGCATTTTACATTTTCTGGAAAGGGTGCAAGTACCCCCAGTTCTGTAAAGGGAAGACGGGTGTTTTTTCCTCCTCTCCTTCTGGGAAGAGGGTGGGGGCACAGTTTTAGCAGCATGGGCCAGTATGCTGTTTGCTCACAATAGACCATGGCCCACGGCCATGAATGACCCAGTCTTAAAATGTGTTTACTCAGAATTAAGTCCCAATGAGTTTTAAGTTTTAAGACCCTACCTGCCCGCGAACTGTCTCGCCCGCGAACTGTCTTGGTGCTGACCTTTAAAGCCCTAAACGGCCTCGGTCCTGTATACCTGAAGGAGCGTCTCCACCCCCATCGTTCAGCTAGGGCCTTCTGGCGGTTCCCTCATTGCGAGAAGTGAGGCTACAGGGAACCAGACAGAGGGCCTTCTCGGTAGTGGCGCCCGCCCTGTGGAACGCCCTCCCATCAGATGTCAAAGAGATAAATAATTACCTGACATTCAGAAGACATCAGGGAAGTTTTTAATATGTAACGCTGTACTGTTTTTAACACTGATTGGGAGCCGCCCAGAGTGGCTGGGGAAACTCAGCCAGATGGGCGGGGTATAAATAATAAATTATTGTTATTATTATTATTATTATTATTATTATTATTAAGTTCCACGCTTAAAAGCGTTAAGAGACAAAGCACAACTGGATGAGGAGATTTCGCCCCTCCCATATCCAAGAATCTGCTGATGTTCTCTGCTGATTCTCCAGAGAGGAGGGGGCGTTTTCTGCTCTCTACTTATTCAGCTCCAGCCTCACATCAAAGAGAGAGAGAGACTGAGTGTTAGAGAGAGATCGTGTGTATAGTTAAGATTGCTGTTAAGAGCAGCTGCAGACACTCAGTGCAGTTCAGCTTCTCCATTTAGCTCTGTACATAGTTGTGTATTATAGTTGTAGATAGAATAAAAGAAGATATTCTACAGAGCTGTTCTCCGAGTCGTCTATGCTCTGCTGTGCGACGACTGTCTTCTTGTTGGAGTGAATCCGGTGCTCACAACTCTAAGCTGTGAGTCCACAGCACTTTGACCTGTTCCTGTGCAGAAGGTGGTCTCTGGAAGTGCTACCCAGCTCGCCTAGCCCAGTCGGGGCTGAAGTGGATGAGTCCAGTTGGTGGCACTGGCTCAAGGGCGATGCTGACACTGGATTATAGGGAACCATTGCAATTAGACTGCAGATTCAGTACTAATCATTTGATGATTATGGAGTGAAATAGAAATTAACTGCAAGGACGTACCACGAAGGATGTGTGCTTCGTTACAGTAAACAGTAAAAAATTAAATCAAGCAATGGGCGGGGCTGGAGTAGAAAGTTATGTTGCTAGGGAATTATGACTGTTTATATCATTTGTGAGAGCCTGTGTTCCATTTTTATCTCCAGAGCACCCCATTGGCACTTCGTCTGTATGTGCTAACAGACTTCAGGCATCATTTCCTGAGCTGTCTATTGCTGATCCTCCGGCGGTAAGTCTGAATGAACCCAATGCACTGAAATGGTTGTCCAGTAATGCTTTTAGGAGAAAGGATGGTGCAATAACAAGAGAACATAAGAAAGCATGCTTTAGTGACTGAATCGACAAGTTTGCTGCTTTAGGTCCTTTTAAAAATTGGATTTGGCACAACGTAGCACTTTTAACAGGGACGCAGGTGGCGCTGTGGGTTAAACCACAGAGCCTAGGACTTGCCGATTAGAAGGTCGGCAGTTTTTACATGAGTAGAATGTGCCCTTTTATTTAAAATGCATCTCTGGGTTATTTGTGGGGCCTGCCTGGTGTTTTTACATGAGTGGAATGTGTGCTTTTATTTAAAATGCATCTCTGGGTTATTTGTGGGGCATAGAAATTCGTTCAACCCCCCCCCCCAATATAGTCCAGCCCCTCACAAGGTCTGAGGGACAGTGGACCGGCCCCCTGCTGAAAAAGTTTGCTGACCCCTAAGCTCTAAAATAGGAAGGGGAACCTGATGAACTTTCCCCAGGTATTGTCATAATACTTGCCTTCTTATATTGTCTCTCCCTTTCCTAATAATTTCCACTGTGGAATTTTCAACAAGAAGTGAAATGTGATTAGTTGCTGGTTTCATTCGCAGGTTGGGAACCAAGGCAGGCTGTCAAATGGAGAATGTGCCTTTCAGGGTAAGTAAGGCCTGTTAATCTTTAGTAGCCTTGTGCTGCAATCCTTTACCCACTGACTTGGAAGTGAGCCCCATTGAGCTCAGTGAGCCTTATTTCTGAGTAAACATGTATAGGGCGGAACTGTTGGGACTGTCAATCCAGAAGTGTAGTTTTGTTAATAAAACATCCAACATTCTTTGCAGTGTTGTGAAAGACAGATCAAAGGTTTTGAACTGAGATCTTCCATACCCAAACCCGACGCTCTAACCACTGTACCTCAGTGCCTGTCTTATGCTCGGGCATCTGGATCTCTTTATGCAGGAATATGCACCAAAATCCCCCCATTTGTTTTAATATGTTTTTAACAGTCATATTTCAACAGCCACAGATCTTGAACACACTTCTGGATCCCATATGCTTACCCGAGGACGTTCTTTGTTTGATCAAATTGGCATTAAATAGCTTTGTGAGTTTCCCTGTATCGGGAAATTTTTTTATGTCTGATGTTTTACAATTTTTAATATGTGCTGTAAGCAGCCCAGAGCGGCTGGAGAAACCCAGCCAGATGGGTGGGGTATAATAATAATAATAATAATAATAATAATAATAATAATAATTTGACCAGGTGAAAAGTTATAATGCTGGGATAGATGATGGTGAAATGTACCATCAGGGTTCGGCAACACAAGTGTCCTTGAGGTCTTGGTAGACTCCAGCTCCCATCATCCCCCGCTAGCATAGCCAATGTTCAGGGATGATGGGAATTGTAACTCAACCAGTGTGGTGAGAGCCAGTGTGGGTGTAGAAGAAAAAGAAGAAGAGTTTGGATTTGATATCCCGCCTTTCACTCCCTTTAAGGAGTCTCAAAGCGGCTAACATTCTCCTTTCCCTTCCTCCCCCACAACAAACACTCTGTGAGGTGAGTGAGGCTGAGAGACTGGGGCTGAGAAAGGTCACCCAGCAGCTGCATGTGGAGGAACGGAGACGCGAACCCGGTTCCTCAGATTACGAGACTACCACTCTTAACCACTACACCACTCTGTTCCAGGAGGGAGACTACCTGCTCCAGGTAGTCATTCTTCAGCCCTAGTTGGCCTTCCCAAAGTGTGGCAGCCTAGGTGTGCCAGCCCTGGAGGTATTTCTCAAGTGACTGGCTGGTTGCCGTGTGTGTGTTTTAAAATGGTGCTAAATATATCTAGCATCTGGATTCAATTTAAGAGTAGTAGACTTGTAATTTGGGGAACCGGGTTTGTGTCTCCGCTCCTCCACATGCAGCTGCTGGGTGACCTTGGGCCAATCACACTTCTTTGAAGTCTCTCAGCCCCACTCACCTCACAGAGTGTTTGTTGTGGGGGAGGAAGGGAAGGGAGATTGTTAGCCGCTTTGAGACTCCTTCGGGTAGTGATAAAGCGGGATATCAAATCCAAACTCCACTTCTTCTTTTTCTGGAGGTCACCCATTTTCCTATCCCTACTATAATGTCACAGCTTTTTATTCGTGTATGTGTCTTTATGTGTTGTTGTTCTTTTAAAAAAATGAACATGACTTTGTGGGAAAATACAGATCTTCCATAAATACAGTGGTACCTCTGGATGCGAACGGGATCTGTTCCAGAGCCCCGTTCGCATCCTGAAGCGAACGCAAGACGCAACTGTGCGGGTCACGTTTCGCCGCTTCCGTGCATGTGCATAACGTCATTTTGAGCATCTGTGCATGTGCGAGTGGCGAAACCCGGAAGTAACACGCTCCGTTACTTCCGGGTCGCCGTAGAGCGCAACCCGAAAATGTTTAAGCTGAAGCGTATTCATCCCGAGGTATGACTGTAACAACATTGAATTTTGTATTTGCAGCAGCAAAGGTTAACATATCAATACCAGAAACAGGAGGAGCTGAAGCACAGGTATCGTACAATATGTGGGCCCTTGTGTCTTTCCTAGCTACCATTTCTTTCAGTGCAGAAAGTGATGTAATTTTAGAAAGTACAGTGGTACCTCGGGTTAAGTACTTAATTCGTTCCGGAGTTCCGTTCTTAACCTGAAACTGTTCTTAACCTGAAGCATCACTTCAGCTAATGGGGCCTCCCGCTGCTGCCGCGCCACCAGAGCACAATTTCTATTCTCATCCTGAAGCAAATTTCTTAACCTGAGGTAATATTTCTGGGTTAGCGGAGTCTGTAACCTGAAGCGTATGTAACCTGAGGTACCACTGTAATGAATTAAGTAATGGGCCTGGCTGTTCTTTCTCCTGTGCTGAGAGCTGTCGAACGCATTGCACTCTGGAAGGCAAGCGAGGGGTGACAAGTTTCTCCCTCTTTAAATTATTCTGCTTTGCCTGCCACTATATTTTCATGGCTGTGAGATTTTCATGGCCCTGGGCCAAACACACACAAAAATCACAGCACGATCTGCCCCTTAGAACGCTACAGATAAAGGAAATTGTGCGTGAGGACTCAAGTACTGGAGCTTTAAACAAAAGCTGAGGGCTAATTGACTCTTAAGGGACGCGGGTGGCGCTGTGGGTTAAACCACAGAGCCTAGGACTTGCCGATCAAAGGTCGGCGGTTCGAATCCCCATGACGGGGTGAGCTCCGGTTGCTCGGTCCCTGCTCCTGCCCACCTAGCAGTTCGAAAGCACGTCAAAGTGCAAGTAGATAAATAGGTACCGCTCCGGCGGGAAGGTAAACGGCGTGTCCGTGCACTGCTCTGGTTTGCCAGAAGCGGCTTAGTCATGCTGGCCACATGACCCGGAAGCTGTACGCCGGCTCCCTCAGCCAATAAAGCGAGATGAGCGCTGCAACCCCAGAGTCGGCCACGACTGTACCTAATGCTCAGGGGTCCCTTTACCTTTACCTAATTGACTCTTACCATCTTGTCACCAGCATTTGTCTGCTCAGCTTGAGACTGGGGGGAGCTCCTGCCAGTTAGAGGAGTCCTGGGAACTAGGCCCAACAAACTTGGACTACAATACTAACTATGTCTGCCCATTGAGTTCAGTGGGAGTTACTCCCAGGTTAGTAGGGTTAGGATCGCATCTGTAGTCTAGATCCAACTCATAGACCTCTCCCAGACCTACAGAAGGTGAGAGCCATTGTCTCTTCAAAAAAACTATCGCTGCCAACATCTGTGTTATCTAAGGTCTACTTTCACTCTGTTCAGGGCCCCACTCGGCTAGGAATTTCTTGCAGGTGTATTCCTCACAATACTAGTGTGTTAGAGGTAGATATTTTGTACTAATCCATACATCATTTTTCTGGGACGTGGGCGGCGCTGTGGTCTCAACCACTGAGCCTAGGACTTGCCAATCAGAAGGTCGGCAGTTCATATCCCCGCGATGGGGTGAGCTCCCGTTGCTCGGTCCCAGCTCCTGCCCACCTAGCAGTTCAAAAGCACGTCAGCATGTAAGTAGATAAATAGGTACCGCTCCGGCGGGAAGGTAAACGGCATTTCCGTGCGCTGCTCTGGTTCGCCAGAAGCGGCTTAGTCATGCTGGCCACATGACCCGGAAGCTGTACGCCGGCTCCCTCGGCCAATAAAGCGAGATGAGTGCCACAACCCCAGAGTCGGCCACGACTGTAACTAATGGTCAGGGGTCCCTTTTCTTTATACGTCATTTTGCTTTATTAGATGTTCCCCAACATTATTGCCATCCTGCTGGGAAAGGGCACTCTTGCACGATGCTACAACAAAATAGTGTGTCAGGCGGGGAGTGTGTTGAATAAACTGGAACATTTGTAGTAAATAAAAAAAGAAGTCGCTGGATTTTAGCAGGAAGTTACGGGGCAGGCACCAAAGGATGATGTCTGCCCTGAGATTTTTGCAGGCACAAACTGTACAGGAAGTGGGATTATTCATAACTGCTTCCGATACCCTAATGATCACTAATCATCATGAATGCACAGTAAGAAGGGCATCTGGAGTTATCCATAGAACTGCACTAGGCTCAGCAAAAAATACCTTGGAAAAGGGAATGAGGCGAAGGTCCATGTATTGGAGATAGGATCTAAATAATTACATTTTGTCATTCAATGCAGGTCCTTAACAAATACAGAATGCGGAGCAAGCCTTTGGGAGTATGCTTGATTATAGACTGCATTGGCAACGATACAAGTAAGTGCTGGGAAAAATTGAATTCCTCCTTAACTGCTGGAGTCTGCAACTCGCGTAATCTTTTAACAGCTCAGATTTGATGAGATGGGCTCAGGCTCCCAGTTTTTCTTTGCTTGTAAAACAACGGTGGCTGAAAGCTCAAGTTGATAATTAGGTACTTGGCATCGGTATAGGGCCCTGAAGTAGTCGAAGTTCTCTACAAACCGTATCTTGTAGGTTTGTCACAAAAAAAGTCTTCCAGGAAGGGGAGGGGAGGCGGCCCCTAGATTAACAGATCACACAAAGTTTTAATTTCCCCTAGATTGTGTGATAGGTTTAAATAAATAAATAAATAATAATAATAATAATAATAATAATAATAATAATAATAATAATAATAATTTATTATTTATACCCCGCCCATCTGGCTGGGCTTCCCCAGCCACTCTGGGCGGCTTCCAACCAAATATTAAAATACAGTAATGCATCAAACATTAAAAGCTTCCCTAAACAGGGCTGCCTTCAGATGTCTTCTAAAAGTCTGATAGTTGTTGTTCTCTTTGACATGTGGTGGGAGGGCGTTCCACAGGGTGGGCGCCACTACCGAGAAGGCCCTCTGCCTGTAATTTGGCTTTTCGCAGTGAGGGAACCGCCAGAAGGCCCTCCGTGCTGGAGTTCAGTGTCTGGGTAAAACAATGGGGGTGGAGACGCTCCTTCAGATATACTTTGCTAAGACTTTGCTAAGACTGTGTATATACACTATACCTTTAAAGCACATTCCCTGCTCCCTACAGAATTCTGGGTTCTGTAGTTTGAATTGCTGGGAATGGTTACCCTGTGAGGAGTAAACTACAGGGCCCAGAATTCTTTGAGGCAAAGAATGCATTCTGAGTGTACTTTAAAGGTATAGCCTGTACAAAGTCAGAAAGTGCTGTTTCCCACTTACCACTACATCGTACAAACTAGTCCCTTCCAATTTGTTGCCGTTTTATAATAAAACAAAGCAAAAGGGAAGCTTTTGATTCAGTAATGCCCAGTGTTATGTACTGAAGTTCTCACCCTGCGCCAGCAGGGGGGATACTAGATAGCTTTCACTCAGGTCCACATATGCAAATAAGGGATTGAAAGTGACGTTCAGTGATTGGATAGTTACAGAAAATGGTTACTGTTGCATTCTAGTGGACCTCTATATAAGCAGGCTGGCTGAACCCTTCAGTTCAGTTCTGTTCTGGCCTGTGAATAAACAAGAGCTGTTTGAAGAATCGCTGTGTCGTCTGATATGTGCATCCACAACTTAACACTGGCGACGAAGATGGGATTGATGGACAACAGAGCACAGCCAGATGCAGCCACCCTCGTGAGTGGAACGGAATCACTGAGCTGAAACACCGAGCGGAATCACTGAACAGAACCAATTCAGAGCTGACCGTTCTGGCTAGAGCACGGTGTTCCATCCATCGCTTCCACATCGGCATCGGAACCACGGCTTCACTTGTGCCTCTACCGCCGTTTGCGCCAGCCTCTGAATCATGGGACTCCTACCTCGCTCGGTTTGACTGCTACCTCCAAGCCAACCAGCTGACGGAAGTATCATAGGAGCGTAAGCGAGGCCTATTCCTCAGCCTCTGTGGGCCTGATGTGTTTGAGATGGCCCGAGCATTGGTTGCGCCTGTAGCAGTCCAGGCAACACCATGGGACACAGTTCAAGAGAAGCTCTGCAACCACTACGCCCCAAAGCCGTCCAAGATTGCTGCCTGCCATGCATTCTACCACCGGAACCAGGCAGAGGGGGAGTCAATTAACAACTACACCGCCGCCCTCCGAGAGGCTGCAATGCACTGCGAGTTCCGAGACTTAGACGATGCCCTGATGGATCAAATTGTGGGGTCCGGGACATCCGTCTGCAAAGGTGTCTCCTCGCCAAGCCAGACCTCACGTTGCAGAAGCCATTGAGGCGGCCGTGGCATCAGAAGCTGCTGAGAGATCCGCAAGTCCAGCAGCCCGCGTCTTGCTAGGAAGCCAGTTCCAGTGCATCATGAAGAGGCCAGCAGTGATGAGGCATCCTCCAGTGAAGACAATGACATGCACCAGACAAAGTGGGAGCGCAGGAAGTTCCAACAGAAGTCCAAGGGCCAATTGGAATGTGCCGGCTGCGGAGGCAACCATTCCCATGCCAAGTGTCAATTCAGAGACGCCATCTGTCGGAACTGTTCCAGAAGGGACCACATCGCTAAGGTCTGCCAATTGGCTCCGTCTGACACCCCGCCTTCACCGACTCGCAAGTCCAAGTCTTCACTCCAGTCCGCCAAGGAAAGCTGTTTTGCTCTCACCAACTGCCACTGCCCATCTGGAACCACGATTGGCCAAACCGACTTGCCTACGCGACGCAAGCTGAACGTCACTGTGCTCATTGAAGGAGCTCCATGTGACATGGAGATCGACACCGGGTCTGCCCTGTCCATCGTGTCTTGGAGCACCATCAAAAGACTGGTACCCAGAGTGTCCAAAAGGCAACTTGACTCTCACCGCGTACACCTGAGAGACTACCAGGGAAACAACACTCCTGTGGTAGGCATTGGCCGGTTCCGGATCGCCTTCAAGGATTTTTCAGGCCTGCTCCGACTGGTGGTGGTCGAAGGTCAGCGGCCAAGCTTCCTAGGGCTAGACTGGTTTGATGCCCTCGGCCTGGAAGTCAC